GAGAGAGAGTGGGAGAGAGGACAATCGAAGATTGGATCTCTTGAAGGAAAAAAGAGTTGGTTCTCTCTCAATTTCATCGAACACAAAGGTTACATCATATAGGAGGAGAAAGTAACGGTCTGTTAAGACAGTTACGATTTGTGAGACCCCCGTTCTCACGTAGATCTTATCTCAGCCGTTATAACTAAGCAGAAATGGACTGTCAGGATTAAAAACAATGCCAAACTAAGAAACGGAAAGATTTAAAACCAGTCGTCGCCGGTGAAACCGTCATAGTGTCACCATTTCCGGCGATCCTTACGCGCACCTTCCTTGACTGGGCTTAACTCCATTAGATGGTGTGCGAAGGAAAGGAGTCGCAGCCAGAACTGGTCGGAGCTGAGGGCAGTGCTGCCGCAGTGATAATCGAGAAGGAGAACCCTAACGTTAACACCATTATCCTCCGTGAGGACGCAATGACGGACACGCAGTACCGTTGCGACCGGATCATGGTGCGTGTGGACGATTATGGTATTGTGGCGAAAACTCCAAGGATCGGCTAGAACGTGATGCTGTATGGTATATCAATAGACTGATCTCTTTTGTCTCGTTGTGTGATTTACGATTCATTGCTGATGATAATAAAATGGGTGTGAAATACTATACCATGAATGATGAATATGTTTCGATCAATAGACGACTGAAATGTAGTTTCATTTCGTCCGTCTTCTGGTTAGACCCAGGTTCCCAAAAGTACAAACTTGTGGTGCCACGTTTCTGTGAATACTTGGTTGTCATCACCAGATCGCATTAGATAGAGATTGAACTATTCGCCACGGATGGTGATCAGGGGTTGGTGGGCTAAAAGGACACCCAATGCAGAGATCATGAATTATTTTGGAAATGTCATTCGTCAGAGACTTTGTAGGACTACACGTGAGAACAAGTGAGAACATGTTGAGATTGGAATCATGCCACCAATGTCTGGTACTCGTGTTTCAAAATAACAATGATGACAGGACCACGGGTGATGGTCAGAGGAATTGAACACCCACAATGAAGCTCCTCAGGTAAGTCTTTAGCCAATTGGATGAAGGCAGAAAAAGCCTCCGATCATTGATAAACGCTCATTCGAAAGGTTGTATGTAATGATAGGATCAGCCCTTGAATACGACGTCCATAGGTTGTCCACGAATAAAGACCTGAAATATACCGAAATTCTATTGAGTTTTATCCTGGGGCGTATTTAAGGAGCATGATGCAGACTTTGATGGGAAGTTTTTGTTAAATTTTTGCGGTTACGTTTAAAACGAATTCGGTTGAAAAATGACGATGTCTAGTTGATTGAGAGTAGTACAACGTCAAGGGACGAGATAAGGTAACATTGACCATGTGACCATGCGTGGGAATCATGTTATGTAAGATCAGTGCTCGCTGACAGTAATCATGGGATTGACTTCCTGTTCCAAAGGCAGTCACTGTTGATCGTCGCGGCCTTGTTGATGACCGTCAGGGCAACAATAATGGTTTAGTGAAGAGGACAAGTACAGTCATGCAAAGAAATTGGAAGATAAAATAGGCAACTGAAGACTAGAAAGAGATGGTTTAGGAAACCACAAGGGTTCCCGAAGCATTGCACCTAATTTGTTCTGCACATTTTATGAAACAGCTGTGAGACACCGATGAGATGTTTGACCAGAGGCTTTACCTGTTTCTAGAATGGCATATCCGCGTGAGCGCACGGACGTTAAAGCTTATCGGATATCAGTGTGGCCAGAATTTACGGATATTCGTGCTTAATGGAAACAGGGACGATAAAGTTTTCAACGATGAGAATCCTCACGCACCCTATCAGCATCTCTTGCCGGATAACGCATACAAAAAGAAAAGGATATCAAAGCACGAAAATAGGGGGCCAAAAGTTTCGAAAACGCCCGGATAATTTAATATAAATTAATATATTCTCATGGTCAGCGGATGTGAATGGAAGAGGTCCCGGCCGATGTTCTCGAGACCTAGGGAGCCTCGTCACCGTCGCAATCAAGAGGGAGAACCCCTAGGGCGGTCCAAGTTAGATATAGTCGTACAACTGCGCTCTGAAAGACAACACAACGCCACAGATGGGATAGACAGTGACAATCTCATCAACTGCGCTCTGAAACGAAATTAGTAAGAAAGGCATCGGTGTGTTTACGAAAACAGCTTTTTTATAACTTGTACATACCTCAGTAATTTCATAATCGATGAACGAACAGATATGCAGAGGTCGAATAGACAGGCCTGGAAAGTCTCAGGTTCATCCCGGTTTTACAAGGAATGAACAAGGCTCATCCAAAATAAAGGACAAAAAAGAAAGGATGCTTCAGACATTCTCCTTTTGTTCACAAGAAGATGCCTAGCGGGAGAAAGGGGCCGTTTTACTCTCTCAAACATTCAACCCTACAGAGATGCAACAAGTAATAGTACGAACAAAATGAAAAACTAGAGCGCTCGTATGGATCTATACCGCTTGTCACAAACAGCTCGAAGCTGCTTTTCGGGTTCCTTAAAGACGTCTTATTTTGATTTTTTTTCATCAAATATAGAAATTTAGATGAGTGCTGCAGGACTCAAATTAATAGAACGTGTATTTCCGGCAATTGAAGGCTCTAGGATAACTTGTGGAGATGCTAAGACACCTAGAGGACTTTCCATTATTCCAAAAATGTAGCTAGCTTTGTTTTAGTTGCCAATGCTTTGTTCAGTAGTGTTCATGAACGACAGAGCTGGTCTGATTGCAAAAAAAAGGGCATCGCACCATTCAAGTGCTGTTTTCTAAAGGAATTTGCCTTTATCTATACTTCTTTCCAGTGGCTCAGGATCCGGAAATACAGTTGTGTTGCGCACTTGGATAATAGAGTACAGAGTAAATCAGTCTGGTTGAAAGTTCGTAGTAAGACATAGCTATCCTAGAAAAGAATATTGGACTGCTCGATAGCCAGCTGCACTCATCTCTAGTGAAGTTCTTAACCAACTAAACGCTGGTTATTTCCTAAAGCCAGGTTGACAGTAAGAACATGGGTTGTTCAAAAATGATAGATTCATATTCAATGTAAAATTAGAAAATTTTCCGGAGAGTAAACTAAAAGTTAATTTCGGGAGACTGGTGACCATTATTTCTTCATTAGCATGGTAATGATAATTCCCTGTATGCCAATATTATCGGAGATAAATCTTTTATTTACACCCTTACTTGGGTCATTACTTTTGTAATCTTGTTTTTACTCGCATCTAATTTACTCATATGGACTTCCATATGGTTTATGGCCACAGCATAATTTAAAGTCTGAATATCAAAAATTACGCCAGTAAAATTAGTAATCTCTTCTGTGAGTTACTTTGGAAAGGAATCATATCCCATCAGATTTTTTTCAGTACAGAATTCTTTCAGTTTAACCAAGAGAAAAATTTGAAATGGAAGGGTGAGAAAGACGTATTTAACAAATTTGTCAATATTATATCATAGATATATTCGTGCCATGATTCCAAATAATGGAATTGGGTCTCCCTGGAAGAGTACTACACATAAATCGGAAGAAGGCATTAGATTCAAATACGCGTTTACAAGGTGCTAACATAAGGCTTAACGCTATACAGGAGTCAAATATGGATTCTTGACTCTGGATTAATGAAAACTCTTTCAAAGGAATCAACCAAAACCTAAGAATGAAAGTTTTAAAGGGGCATGGCATTGAGTAGCACCTTCAGCATCTAAATTCATTCCAGCCATGTCCTCTTCGAGAAGTACATCCCGGGAGAAATCTTTTGCAGTTTTTCCTCACATGACACAGGGCAGATCATTCAAGGTCTAGTCTTGTTTTAGCCCTGACGAAACTAATGTTTCACAAGTTTCCCAAGATTTTCATTACCGAATGTACCGTTTCAAAATGTTCCGTGCTGATTAATTTAGGAACATACTCCTAGAAATTCCAAAATAGTATTTTCTTCTCGACATACACCTTTACACAAATTCACCTTTTTTTTCTTTCTTTAATGACAACTTTAAAAATTTCAGCATGGTCAGGGAAGCTAGAACTTTTTTTTCTTGACTTTTCCAAGGAGACAAGAATTGACATTCTTAATCAGATTAGGAATTCACAAGTCTACACGATATGATAGCTAACCTGTCCTTGTTTTATGTACCTTCCTATTGTTCAACAAGATTAAATACTAATAATACAAATAATTCTCCCAGAGGTAAAATAAAAGCCGGAGATTCCTGCACTCCACATGGACAATCTATTTCGTGGCCTGAACTCCGCGTGGGCGTATACATCAGCACAGACATTGGTTCCGTGTCGAACATCTCTGAAGCCATATTTGGCGTGGGCCACATGCAATTAAATGGAGACGGGAAGATAATACGGTCCAACTTCATGCACTGGGCCCACTTAGTCATCGCCGTCAATATTAAAACCTCCACGCTGTCAGCCGTCGCAGCAATCATTTTACAGCCGCAAGTCGGATAAGGTCCACACGTCGTAATAAACATGGGATACGCCATTTCTACAGGAGTACGGAGGAGAAAAGCATTTTGGGTCTGGATGCTGTACGCCGACTTTCCGCGGTCTCCATTTCAAAGTGGGGTTTGTTCCCCATTGTTATCTTATAGTCTGATATTCCAAACAACGCCAATACCTTCCACAAAGCCCTCATTCGTTGACCACGTGAGAAAAGTGCTGCATTATTATGAAAAGTCAGGGAAGGCACGCTAGCGTTGCGAAAGCGAAAGAGATTTCTTGGAACGGAAGCCGTTCAACCCTTGAATTGGTGTTCTCCACGAAAATTGTTGGTCTCTTGCTCATATTATTTGCCACGCACGATCCAAATTGGATCGGAATCCGACTTTGTCAGGTCTTCTGAAAACCTTTTTCGTGCTTGGATGCCCGACGATCCTCTATAAATACAGCAAGGTGTCTCAGGCTTCATCTCATTCCATCTCCATTTTACAAAGACTTGAACTTGAGGAAGCGGGAAGAAGAATGTCGGATTGCCAAGGTAAGGAGCAATGTCCGTGTTCTTCGTTTGAAGAAACCATTTTGGTTGGATTCGCTTCTCCGATACTCTCTTCTTTCTCGGTAGTAGTTTTACTTCATTAGTGAGAGAACATCATCGTTAATCTTAAATATGACTACTGTTGGGATACAAGATTAATGGATGCCTCTTCACTTTTCCTACGAACGTCAAGGTGTACCTTATAGAAACGGTTGAGAATCAACAGATATCATATGAATCTCGTCAGGTAGTTCTGCCGCCTATCAATTCTAACTGCTGTGCGGATGTTGTGTGAAGGAAAGGAGTCGTGGCCAGAACTGGTCGGAGCTGAAGGAAGAGCCGCCGCAGTGATAATCGAGAAGGAGAACCCTCACGTGGATGCTATTGTCATTCAGAAGGACGAAATAACGGACATGCAGTACCGTTGCGACCGGGTCTGGGTTCGTGTGGATGATAATGGCGTCGTCGCTGAAACTCCCAGGATCGGCTAGAACATGATGTTGTGAGGGATTCTAGTAGACTGGAATGTCTTTGTCTCGTCATGTGTTTTACGGTTCATTGCTGCTTGTAATAAGAAACTTGTGAAATAATCTATTATGAAGGACGATGTTTCGATCAATTGCTGGACTTTGAAAATGTAGTTTCGTCCCCTCCTTCTGGGTAAACCCAGGTTCCTAAAATACAGCCTGGCGAAGTTTATAAATTTTGAAGAATTGTACAGGAAGAGCAAGGCAGATGATCATCATAGGACCAGGTAATATTAAGGGCTACTTAGTTAAACCATAATGTTTCCTAACTATTTTAATCAATTCTTCTTGGTGATCTATGGCACTTCTGTGGTGATGGCATCTACAAATAAAATGAAAAATGATATGTGCAGAAGTCATATTCTCAACTCATTTTAATGCTAATAAATTAAAGACTCAAATTCCCCTGGCATGCAATCAAGATTTTTTCATTTCTCACGTCAAAAATATTGGGCAAGAGAAGCAGTCCTCACCAATTTCCAGATCATCTAGTTCAAACTAATGGGCTGTGAGTACAGTAAACTTATGTTTATAATAAAAACTTCAAATGTTTTTCAGAAATAGAAACAAGGCATGAAATAAAATAATTCACTGTGCCTCGTAAATACTGGCTTGAGTTGTTTTAGATCAGATGTTCTAAACCATAGATTTACTGCTGCAACATATTAGTAGTTTTGTTGATGAGAAAAGATACACCTAAATTTAAACTTTATGGTAATTTGTTCAGGTAAAACCGAAGCTGAAATAAAAAATTTCTCACCTTTCTTCTCTCTGCAATTTTTCCTGCCTTTGGAATGCCATGGATAGAATCGCTGAAAGCTCTTTCTGGCACCTATGGACGAGTGGAATGGGCCCAAATCTGGCATGGGTCCCGAGAAGAACTTCTGATCTCGACGAATTCCCCACCTCTAGATTCCATGTGAGAACAAATGAGAACATGTTGAGGTTTGGACTGGCCAGCAATGCCTTCTGCTTGTTTTTAAAAATAATATTAATGACAGGATCACATATGATTGTCAGAGGGCTATCTTTAGCCAACAATGAAGGTTATCTGGTCTGTGTTTAGCCAAATCGATGACAGCGGAAGGCCCACTGATCTTTGAGAAATGGTCAAAACCGAAAGGTGGTGGGCAGTGATAGGATCCTCCCTTCAATAAATAAAAGGGTTGAAAAGTGAACCGGTACAGTCATGCAAGAACTTGGAACGTGAAATATCCTTGTCATGACTGAAGACTAGAAGGCGATGGCTTATGAGACTATAAGCATTTCCACCTAAATTGTTCTGCCCATCTCACAAAGCCGCTCTTTGACACAGAGCACTGAAGCTTATTGTGACCTGCACAAGAGGAAGAAAAAGGGATGATGTTTCCTCTCTCGGAGGACAGAGGGGAAGAGTGGCGGAATAAACTACCCCAATTTTTCATTTCCAAGTATTTCCCATTATGTAGGATGTGAATCCTACAGAAATTTTCAGAGAATCCCTAAGGCTACATCGTAATACTCTCCTTCAAGATAAAAACTGTATGAATTCATCTTGGATACCAAGGAAACTAAGACCAAAAGAGGTATTGATGAAGATGAACATGCCATCAACCAACATACCGTAGGACAAGGATGGGTAAGAGAGACTGCTTCTTTCTTTTTGTCAAAACTTCGGATGGAGATGGAAACACTGACGACAGACTAGAGGACTTGATTTAGATGAAAATTCTGCCAAAGGACCTGAGGATGCTGTTCACACACTGTTGACGAACTTGGACTCTACTAAGTGAATATGTGGCAGCAACTAAGCCGCTGAACATGTTGCTGATGAATATGGATACACTACCAGCTGACAAATAAAGATTACCGTTGGGGCCACATTATCTTCAGTAAGAATAAACTCATTGTCCCTAGATTAGAGGACTGACAAAAAGATATCACACCGTTGAGTTGTAAAAGGATAACGATAAAGCTCATCTATACATCATAAGTCATGCATATTTGATAGGGTTGCTACTTAAATATTTTAAGAAGAGTATGCATTTAAGGTAAACCTATTTTCATGTGATTCCAAACTGTTTACTATAATACGTGCATAAAGTATCAAACTTCACACATTTTACGGCATGTGCATTTTATTGAATCATAAAGTTTTTACTTAATGTTTATTTTACTCTAACAGATGAGAAGAAATATATATATATATATATATATATATTTACATCCAAAAAAACAGAACAAAAGAAATTATAATTTTCCTATATTTTTTCGAACTTTTTTAAGCAATGTTGGGGAAGTATGTAAAGGAAGAGAGAGGAGAGAGAAGGAGTCCTCAAGGAGTTAGGGCTTGCGAGAGAGAGGATGGCCTGGGGGGAAACATGATGAGAAGAGGAGTGGGAAACCAGGTGCGACGGTGGCAATGGAAGTGGTGGTGGCTGCAAGTTCCCCTCTTGCATGACAGGTAGAGGGGGAACTGAGCACGGCAGTAGTGACGGTCATGGCTGCAACAGCGACAGCAGCGACGTTCGCAGTGGTAGCGACAGCAGCAGCGGTGATTGCAAGCTTCTCTCTTGCATAACAGGCAGAGGAGGGGTCGAGTACAGCAGAAACGGTGCCCACGGTGTTGGTGACTACGATTTTCTCTTTTCTGCTGAGTATCAGGTGGGCAATACGGTGGAGGAACTCTAAAACGTTGATTCGGATACTTTGACAATCTCACACACTAAAATTTCGTTTTTACAAATACTGCTACTACTCTGGGACTCCAATGGCTTATGGGAAGATTCCATCACCTCCCAAACATCAACCTACATTTGTGTTCTCCGTCAGCGGCTAGGCCACCGGCGGAGGTGATTTCACCTCCGTGCATTTTGAGCGTATGTGCTGTCCTTCGTTGCATTTCTGTTGTGTGTTGAGTTAGCCGTGCATTTTCCCTTAGCCATACACTCGTGTTTATGTTTAGATGTTATAGAATTAAAGAACGAGATCACTCCTAGGAGCTGAAGCATGGAGCGCATTGAACTCAAGGCAGAAGGAGTTTAGGAGACAACTGGGGCCATACAAGAGTTGCCACTTGCACTGTATTTTAGATTTACAATTTTATAGGTAGATTCTTGAATTCAATTTTCTCTCTTAGTTTTTCGTATTTTCTTTCTGAATCAAAGGTTGTTTAAAACGTCCTCAAGTTATACATAATACCAAACTTTCCTTGTGGATCGACCCAAGTCCACTGTGTCTTAAATGAAATATTAATGCCATATTTTATAGATTTGGTTTTAAAACTTTTAAAATTGATTACCTCTGAAAGCCATGATAAGAGGTGCATCAGATAACATGCCTATAAATAGTACAAAGATAATATGTTTCTAAACAGCTCAAGAAGAGTGTAATGATGGAACCTTAGGACCAATATCATGGTACGACAGGCATATGAGATGGAGAAAGAGGGATATAGTTTCCTCTATCTTGGAGGACATAAGGGAGGAATACCAGAAGAAACTACCTCAATTTTTCATTTCCAAATATCACCCATTAAATAGGAGTGAACCATTCATACTATTTCATTGAATGTCCTTAGGCTACATTGTAACAAAGCTTCCTAATGTATTTAACGGGAAGAGGAAAGAGCTTCAACTGATATGACCAAAGACTTATTATTTTCTAGAATTACACACGTCAAGAACTCCACAAGAGATCATGGAGGGAAACACAGACGTTGAAAGAAGTTAACGAGCTTCTAAGAATATTGGTTTGCCAGTCAGATAGAAGAAAGAAGAGGCCACAACAGACGAAGCAAATCGGGATATAGTGTGGCCAGAATTCACTGTTGGACAAAACGCTGGTGATTCGCTAAATGAGAACTTCGCAGGTGAAGATGCCAGGGGAGTAGCTGATAAGATCATGCAAAAATGAGAAATGCATTGAAGAACATCAAATATGATTATACTTTCATCTTTCTCGATTGAAAATTACGAAATTTCATGCATTACGATATACCCAGATGTTATGATAACTTTTTAGCATGTGTGTGTGAAATAGGTTTGGCCTTCCATTTTAGATGAATGTTTCAAGCTGGAGATTTCTGATCTGGCAATGATTCGTGTCAGGAATTTCGAGCTCTCACCCCATGTTTTTTATCCATATCAATCTTCTAAGGCACCTCCTCATTAGTCACCATTTCACTAGGGCTTTCACTTGCATAGGCAGAAGAACACTGTCACAGTGCAAAAGGGATAGTGCTTTTTTGCTCTTGAAAACAGCTACCACCCAACATATCCATTGGCATTTGTGCGGTAAGGCCCGGGATAAGACAGCGAGGTCTTCGTCTTCTTCCTGAGCTGAACTGAGCCTATCCGTCCGTGGGTTGGCAACAAACATGGCCAGTTGAGAGAGGATCCCAAGCTTAACGAACGATGCGCGCTCACGTGAAGCAAGGCAACATTGCATGCTGCTTTTCACTTTTCACGCGCGATAAAAGAGATAAAAACGTTGACGAACCAAGCTCCGTTGAGAGCCTTGCTTGCTACCTCTTAGCCAAGGAAGTAACTAAGATTGTTCTACCCGAGAAGAATATCGATGGTGAACCCAGCCTGATTTGGCCGAGAAATATGATTGATGTACTATCATTCATATATGCCATTGTAATTTAAAATTAGAAATACACGACTGTACGATTCTATTTTTTCGGGCTTCTTTCCGATCATAGAATCTCTTATGTATTTTATCAAATAGAAACTGCTTCTATTCTTTCATTACTGTAAGGACGGTGCCTGTTGGAAAGTCTGGTGGCCAGAACTTGTCGGGGTGAGCACAATGTTGTCTCCATGATAATTGAGATTTAGAATCATCATGTTCGTGTCATTTTACTTAAGATGGCAGGATACCTGACGCTCATCATGAGGATTAAAGAAGTAGATCAGTAGTCACGTTGCCAAAATGTCTCATCCTAAGCTGATTAAGGGATAATTTTCTTATTATTCAGCATATTTTATCATAATTTTTATCTTAGAAGCTATAAATAATCTCATGTATCTTGGGGATTGGGTTAATGGAGAAGTACTTAGATTTTTGGGTTTATCGCTCATTCTATCTGTGAAGGAGAGGCTGTGAGACGAATCGTCTATCGTTCACTTCATGAGGGAGAGACAGTGACAGTCGCCATCCACCGCCACTGCTTATAGTTTGTTCTCCGCCACCCACCATCCACCATCTACAATCCCTCCCTTAACTGTCCACTGCCGTCGACCATGATCCGTCGCCGCCATAGACTGTCCTTCAACCGCCGGCATTCCTCCCTTCACACATCCACCACCGAATGGCTTGTTTTCTATTACTTTTTTTCGACCATTCTAGTTGAACTCAGAGATTTCATGTATTTATCTTGGTTCTCGAGGGCACAGGGGTAAATTCAATTCTATTCCAATTCCTATGAACCTATGGTCAAAACCCTCTGAAAATAATTTGATTATTTCATTACCTCAATCAGACGAGCTTTGTGACCTTATTGTGCACTGGAGAGCAAAACCACAACAACGTTAGCACACGAGTTAGAACAACTCAACTCAATATGCTCCCCAAAGGTGGACTATGGAAGGTGAATCTCAGGACACAGATTAATATGCTCCATATAGCTGATCTGTTATGGACACACTGTCAGTCCATTATACAACTATTGGCTTCAGAAAGCCAGTTCTCAATAAAAAGAATAGGTCTTTCAGAAAATTGAGGCATCCATGACTACGTCTAGACACGGCTTGCAAACCAAGAGGGAAAAACCCTCCTCAATGGGTAGGTAAAGATCCAAGCACAAAAATTCCATGCAGAACTTCAAAACCGGCAGAAGATATCGAGACCAAAAGGGGTCGTATGATCCCGTGCCCTAGCTCTCTTCGTTCCCTTTTGCTTGAAACCATAGCGGCCGGATATTTCAACATCCTTTCACAAGTTTCTGGCTTGAATCTCCATCTGTCCAGATCATTTTTATTTTCAACAATTATTTCAAATGAATTCATAGTTATTAAAACACTAGCAAAAATTTGCCAAAAATCTCCATATAAATCAGGAATACAGAAAAACTATAAAAAAATGAGGAATATGTCTACGAAAATCCCAAAAATTCATAAACTGTGATTAACATCCTATAAATCAAATTAAGAAAGATTTCAACATATACTTCACCAATTAAAATGAGATCTTATGCATGTAAATGCTATATTAATGAGTCAAAACATATTTTTCTGAATTAATCTCATAGCCATGTACTTTTCTATGAATTAATGCAAAAATTAAAAATATATAATATGAATTAATAGATTAAAATGTAGCTTTATCATCCCTTCATGTGAAGGGTATTAAAAAGGTCTCTTGGACAAACCTCTAGACAACCAAATGCGACCAAAGGCTCAAGAAAATTAGACTGCCCAAAATTCTGTTAGGAGACCGAACTCTTAATGAGTTTCACTGTCCAAGTCTCCCACTGTGGTCAGCCCAACAGAATCTGATGTCAGCAACCGTCCTCCACATCTCTTCCATTCTACGCCACAACACCTTATTACTGACGCATACTTTCAATATAAGATAGTGATAATGCTTTATTTGTATATAATAACTATGTTAAGATTAAAGTAGTTCTTGCATGAATCAATATATGATAGTAATTAATAAATTTGAAACATGTTAGTATTGGTTCAGAATTTTTTCATAAATTTATGTTTAATTTAGTAATTTTTAGAATTTATGAGATATGAATATATTTATGATTTTTACTTTATAAACTAACATAAAAAATCTAAGCGTTATAATATTAAGGATTATTTTAAAATTGATAGAAAACTGATCTCGAAGTTAAAATTTAGAAAATAGCTTCTTCTTAGATTTTTTCAAGAAATTTATAAAGTGATTTATAATATTTTTTTGATAATATGTAAATTATAAAAATGCCACATTAGAGCACATGTCAAGAGCTTATTGGCCGTACTGGTATAAGTCAACAAATGAAGAGGTCAATATTTTATGTCATGTTATCCGTGTACATATCATCTCCCATACTTTGTGTTTGCATCATGAAACGAACAAGGAGAATTCTTAATTTTGTGGTGATTGTTGATATATTTTTGTTGGAAGATGAGAAGAAGTTTTGAATAAAATGGAGAAAGTTTTGAGATGGACAAAATGAGGGGAATTGAGGAATTTGGGAAGCTTTTTCAGACTAATTCCCTTTTGGGATTACACTTGGACATGAATCAAGCAATGGTGGGCCCTTATGAATTTGACTTATGTTATGATTTTATTTTAATTTTTTTTTTATTTAAGATTTTTTTTGGGTGCATGTGTGGTACCAAAAAATAGAGTATCAAGAATTAAATAAAAAATAAAGAAAAGTTAGGAAAAAATGGCTTAAGTGGCAGATGATTTACATTTTAATTTTATTTTGTGTAGGTATGTTGGTGATTTTATCTTTTCTAGTAAATTTAACTTTGTTACAATCTTCTTAATCAATTTATTTCTAAATACTATTGTATTTTTACTTTATTTTAAAAATTATTCTCTTATTTTTCCTTAAATATTTTGTTGGCCTTCAGTCATCTATCTATGTTGAATGTTGACACACATTAAATTTAGAATATTCTGAGCTGAAATAATTCATGGAATATTTAAAATGCAAAGATTGTTTTTGGTTTTTTTATTTTTACTTATTATATAAATAAAATTTTAATTAAAAAGTTATTTTGAGATTGTGTCTTCTTGTGGACAACCTGAATTCACTAAAATCTAATCTTGATTCTTGCTTAAATTCATTTTATAAATATTTTGAAAATTTATGTATTTTGATAATACTCACTAAAGTGATATCATGAAGTTACATGTTTACATCCCATCAAACTTTTAGACTAAAAGTCAGTCTAATATCTTGATTAATTATACCAACTAATGAAGGTAAAAACTGTATAGATTTTAATGATACCAATTTATAAGCATGTGTCAAGGTAATTATGCCTTGTCACTACTGAACAAATAATAAGCCTGTTTTAATTTCTCCCTTGCTGTCTCTCCTTTCCTCCTGCTTTAGTTGCCCAATGGAGCTATTTGAAGAAAAAGAAAAAGGATAAATAATGATACCATTTCTCTTTTTTTTAAAACACTAATTGCTAAATGTACTTAACTAAAGCAAGTTGATGATTTGCAAAAGTTCTGAACAAGTGAAAAAATGAGCAGCTTGTTAAAAATTGAAGCATCTTTTTAGGGGCTAAAACTAATTAACTGAAAGTACAAGGTTTGTCAGGAACAAGTCATCTAACCTATAAATTTTGGAATGGTTCAGCCCAAATGTGAAAGTATAAAAACGTTGGAATGGAACCCTACACGACAAAGTTTATAGTACTCTTTAGGCGATCAGTCCACACCTAGAACACCACGCTGAAACGTTAAATTGATGTACGATTGAGTACACCATTACATAACAAAGATTTTATTCAATTAATTGATGTATTTAGCTACCGACGATGACAATACCCTCGTGGCGTACAACATTCTGTCCAGATTTTCGAATGACCCATGCCTTGATTTTCCTGAAAACCCTACCCTATTATTCTGATGGGTGCGTAGTCTTCTGTCGCACCTTCCGTTCTGCAAGCTAATCTTATCAGCTATTAACTCCCTCAGACTACCTTGTACTGTCTCTGGGTCATATGTTTATCAGATGAGCTTGAAGATGACCCCTTAGGGTATATGTATGGGGATCACAAAATAGGGTCACGTAAAAAAATTCACATGTTCAACTAGGTTGTTGTGCTTCTCTACCCTCACTTATGGGCAGTTTCTGAAAACGGAGATTCATGGGAATTCCAAGTTTTGTTCGAACTATGCGTGGTCCTCTAATCGTTCCACATGTTAGAGAAATGGTCCAGGGGGCAGCACCATCTTGGCAGAAGTTGAACTATAGGCAAATATGTCATTTATCCCTAGTTGGTCGCCCTAACCCTTCGGTACCCGACAGGCGACATCCGCTACTGTAGCTTGAGACGAACGCGGAACGCCGTCCGTCCCCACCCCTTTCGGCGGTTTCCCGAAGATCTGGCCAAGTAGGAAGCGCCACTCTAATAAGTGGCTACCAAGTGAACGAAGGAAGGGAAAGGAAGGGTACCCAAAATCTTATGCGGGGCTCCCAATAGCTAAGCCATTCTGTCCATGTCATTCCCCTTATATTCGTTTAACTAATCAAGTGATAAAAGATACATGCCGTCAAATAATTGAAGTTAAGTTGGAGTATAAACGACTCTGATTTGAACGTCCCTTTCATTGGACGACTTTAATAATTCTTGAGGGTTCCCAATATACGTTTACAAGCAATGCAGAAATCTACCTTCTGCTGTGATCGTTCATCATTCCCGAAGCAATGAATTCGCTTAGCCTGAAAGTATCGTTTAGAACGAAACCCAGGGATAAAATATATTTGGTATTGAATGTTGTCAGACCAAGGACTGACCATCGGAATTATGAAACATTAAATGTTAATAAGGACGGGCTTTAATATCCCCGTCTTGATTTCTGGAAGGACAAGGGAACAGCCGCGTTTGAAGTAGATGGCCGTCTGGACGGTAGACCTCACCCAACTCCTTTTCACCGTCAGATATCCCCACATTCTCTCTCGTTGATGTCTGAACAAAGCATAGAGATCTCCGATGAGCCCGATTTACAACGAAGACTTTTTAAACCTCCCCGTCCCAACCGTTTAATAAATGCTACCAAGACCCCCGACTTCTCCATTATTCACAGCCATTTCACAGAGGCTTGGCGAGGAGTGAAAAACAATGGCGGAACAAGGCCTGAAATGCGGAGGTACGGAACTACTCTTGTTCAACACAGTTCTAAATTTTTTCTTATTTGATAGAAATTCCCCATTTCTTGAATGCCAGAACCTTCCTTGATATGACGACAATCCCATGTAGTAATTCAACAAATTTGCTCCGGGAGTCCTTAAATATGCGATAACTTTTCAACCTCACGCTGGGAAAACTGCGTAAATCTCAGACAACAAACTTGATAAGAAGAAAGGAGTCCTCTTTGCAGGGCTATATCGAAATAGGGAATCGGACCAAATCCCAGGCAGTCGGTCCTCTAATCTAATGGCTCGTTTGCAATGATTTGTCTGACTCGTGTGTTACTGACTCTGTGAAGGGAAGAGTTTATGGCCAGAGCTTGTGGGATCCCCGGCGGATGATGCTGCGGCGATAATCGAGAAGGAGAACACTCTCGTTAATGTCGTCATCGTTAAGGTGGGGATGCCCGTCACCATGGACTACCGGTGCAGCAGGGTAAGGCTTTGGGTGGACGAGCAAGACATCGTCGTCGAAGTTCCTCGGATCGGCTAGCATGTGGATGCCGGGCTAGCAAGCTGATGCGTTTGTTGTGTAATAAAAAGGAAGCTACCGATGTTCACTAAATTACCCTTTCGTCGCCCTTTTATGCGTTTCTATGTCCGGATTGAGAACGAGATGTTCTTTACCTGGGTCAAAACGGATGCTCTCCATCACGGTCTCGAATCGGTATGTATGCCTATAATCATCCGCCACGCGAAACGTAGACAATCTCCGTTCACAACCGAAGGTTCGATTGAGCTACTTCTCGGAACAGCGGTCAGAGCAGGACTAACGGAATCCCGTCGCAATGCAGGCCAAGTAAGAACTCCCGAATCGTTAATAGTGAAACGTTTTTCTTGTCTCGTAAGATTACTTTCATACTTCTCGCTGTTGCCGGATTATGACAATGCGATGATTGCAGCAGCGTCTCGCTGTTGGGGAGCGACCTTCCTCTTCTTGTCCAACGGAATAATTGCAACCCGAGAGCATAAAATATAGAAGAGTAACAAGAGGAGAGGTCTCTCTCTCTCACTATAACACGACGAAAAAGTCAGTCCCCGCATAAATTGACAAAATGGGGATCACCATTTTGTAACGCGCAAGTCTCCCTCTTTCTCGAAAGACGGCAGCCACCATTTTATAGAAAGAAGTTAGGGCAACTTTTAAGACATATTACAGTGATACCCCTTTCATTTGGGCCGCCTTGTATACTTGGCCCAAACCTAAAATCAATCTCCCGATAGCTCTGACGGTTCTACCTGGGATGCTCCAAGACAGGAGATAAATGAACCCATTCCTACTGCTGATGATATAAGGATAATGTATCTGACCAGAACAGTTCTTTCAAATTTCTCTCCAGAATCTAGACGAACTGTGATGAGATTTTAACGTAGTATGGTATTCATCTTTGTTTAGTGTGAAATTAAACCTTACGACCGATATGTGTGGCTTGTCCCATATTGTCCACAGGAATTGAAGATGGACTCAGAGGACTAAATTAACTGCTGTGGTTTGTATTCCCATAACAAGTCATCCATTTTAATCTCAAGGAGTTCACCGCTTCGAGTTCAAGATAGAATGGATATAAATTATTGAATAAGCGTACGTTTCGTGAAGCTGAAGTTAAGCATGGAGATTGAACCATTCTTAAACACCTAACTCGATAATGGTTATCTCTTATGTCCAACCCTTTGGACACCTGAAAAATGGAGTCACAAAAACCCGCATTGCTCTCATCGATTTCTAAACCAATTATTCTATTTAGAGGATTTAAAGTCACTTAGATTTTCGGAACGTCGAATAAAGTGACGTGGCTAGCTTTGTCTGTCGAGGTATCATGATTACAGGTAATAATATGTTTTATTGCGTTGACTCAATAACTTTCCAACGTTCTTGCTATGGAATGAATCAAATCTTCCCTTTACTGTAAAACAACTCAGCAGTACAGATATCAGCAGAAGTCGAGCGTTCCTGCTTTAATGAAGAGAATAAGGACTTATGCGTATATGAACTACGTTAAACTCCAAAAGATGAGCTTAACTGCGCAGATATTCTAAATAGTGTTTATCTAAGCTAAAAATCCGCCTTTAGCTGCAAGGCCTGAAGCCCAAGATTAGTGTCCACGAGTTAGCTGATCTGATCCACCGTGATCGTCTTATATGCGACGACATATTCTACATCACCTTACATCGTCACTTGGCATCGGAGTTCCATCCCTCAACAAGATCTTAACATTCTCACCTAAGAAGTTGTCTTACTTCAATTGCCTAATTTTTAAAAACATACTAACTGACAAAAGCCCACGTTTCCTTTGGATACGTGTTGAGCCCATTCTGGTCAATGTTGACCTGCCAGTTCCTTTTTTATGCACGGATCTGGCTGATCGTTTATGACGAAACTATGCGGTGCATCCTGCTGCGATCGATCTGGCTACTCCCAGATCTTATCGCCCTTAGGGTTGTTGTCGATTTTCTTCGTCCGCCGAAATCTTATCCACTCAGTGTTCATATTTAAGCACCTAATAGAAGTTGTTGGACAGGTTCACATGTCAGCCCGTTTTCATCTTTCTTCACGTGGAGCCTCAAGGATTGAGAGTCCTGGAGATTGGAACTCCTAGAGGACTCCTCGCCACCCACCGTCTATAAATAATGAAAGGGGCCTCAGGGTTTTATCCACTTGCATCCAGAGGAGAGAAAGAATGGCGGAGACAAGAACGACATATCAAGGTCCATTTGAGCTTCTGCCTTCTCGAGCCGGGTTGCTGCAGCTTTTTTTCTGGCCATTGAAGTCTCCTTATTTATTTCTATTGGAGATTTCACTGAAAATGCCTGATATATTACTACTCTATAGAATAGCGATGAACTTTAACAAATCGTTTTCTTCTTCAATCCCCTCTTTCCATAAAGACATTTCATTTTCAAGATAAACGTACATATTGAGAATTAGTTCCAAGTTTTAGAGTGAGATGATAATTTCTCTACTCATGCACGCCGCTTATTTTGAAGTGTCTGCACAAGAATTTTCAACAGCCAAATTTTAAGGATAAATGATAAAAAATTAATCGTATTTTATTAGCATTACGGTAAATGTATCACATGAAACAGAGATCACTGTCGAATTGAATGTCGATTTCTTTTTACTTGAATGATACAAAAACATTAAAATTGAACGCCGACCCTTAATACTTCAATAATACCATTTAGACATCATGGTCTTAACAATCGAGGAGAAGAACTCGCAGAGATATAAAGTGACTTATTTTCAGATAAGGCTGCTCGTCAATCATTACGAATTTTTCGGTTTTTTTTTTTTTTTAACAGGGAAGAGCTCGTGGCCAGAACTCGTCGGACAAGAGGGGAGGACCGCCGCAGCGATAATCGAGAAGGAGAACCCTCTCGTTGACCCCATCGTAGTGAAGGTGAGGACAGGCGTACGTGAGGACTTACGAAATGACAGGGTGTGGGTGTGGGTTGACGATAGCGGCATCGTTGCAGAAACACCAAAGATCGGCTAGGACAATGCCGAACGGATGATAGCGGGTAAAGAAATGACGGGTGGTGAATAAAGCACACTTTGCCCTATGATGCTCTACTTTTCTCCCTATACGTGTATCATTTCTATAGAAAATAAAAATATTAAGAATGTTTCTCATAAATTACGAAAAAAGCAGGGACCCATTCTGACATGAACCTCAGGAGCGTTGCCCAGATTACAAAACCAAAGAGAAGCTTCATAGTCGCATGTTACCAATCATCGCCAATGGAAGGGGATATTGTTCTTTAAAAGAAATAAGATTAATACTTCATACTCTGATGCAGACTTCAGCTTAATATCTCCCAAGGAGTAAAAGAACTTCGAAATTTCTGACCAACGACATGATACAGAGTAATTTCCGCTATTTATGTGCACTTATGAACCACCAATTCATCCACCAATCAGGCGTCACCGACTGCCGAAAATGGGTTAATCTCTATTTAACGGATGTCTGCCTTGAGTCGGAGAGACAACATTGGGATGCGCTCGTCCCGCTGATGGGGGTTCTCCGAATAAAGTTCCATCCTTGAAGACGGACATACTAAGCCTCCAGATTGTATCGAACAAGAAATACTTAGTTCCTTCAACCCTGATAAATAAACAGGGTTAATCCTCGGGTAACAAACGTTCCATTTTTTCTGAAGTGAAATTCCAGGACCAGGTGTTCCCTGAGGGACCCCGCTGCCGGTCAAACTTTGTGAACTTTCACAGATCTGTGATAAATACTGAAAGAATCCTCACGCACCCTATCACGCCTTTGTTTGCATGGTCAGAATGTGTGAAAAGAAGAGATCGCGGCCGTTGTTCATCGAAGACCCACGACAGCCATCGCCGTAAAAATAAAGAGGGAGAACACCTCGGGTAGACCAGTCGTCTTTGAGATGGGGAGGGCCGTCATCACCAACTTCCTTTGTGACTGGGTGTGGCTTCGGGTTGACTAATCAGGCACTGTCAATTGAATACTACATATGGCACAGACAGGGAAAATCTCACCAACTGCATAGTTGATAGTCTCTTAGTTATTGAATTAAAAGATGTCAATTTTAACATTTATAACTGAACTCAGAAAGTGAAAATCATCATTAAATTTTTAATGATTCAGGTCGATGCTCAAATATGACTATCAATTTTTGATATCAAATTCTGTTCTCAATTTCTTATTAAATCAAAAGGAACAAAGTAAACTACAGAAAATGATCTTCACTAGTAGGAAGGAAATATCAATGAAGTCCATAGAGAAGGGGAGAAGGACGAAGAGAAGAAGAGGGAATGGATAATGTTTCATTAGAATTCACATTCGAAATTAAAACTAAATTATAAACATCATTCTGACTGTAGGAGAATAAAGTCAAATACGAAACTGAAAGTGAATTGTCCCTACCTGACACCCAAGGACGAAAATAAAGCTGATAAAACACACTTTGAACACAAAACTGTCTGGAAAGATAAATCAATGAGTAGACAGTCAGACCATGCCGCTTGCTTGACATTCACACAGGTGGACCAGTAAAAACAACAAACTTGAAACACAAATTAGACTATATATGCTTAGTTTGTAGGTCTCCCTGTTCCTGTGCTCCCTCAACTTCGTCTGTCATATGGTGGGGGGGGAATCTTGGTCACTAAACGAGGAGGTCAGTTGTTAGCCATCCTCAGCTCGTGGGGTACATGCTCACCTCCCCTTGTCTCTCAGGAGAAGAGACCGTCATCGCCGCGCTAGCTGCCACCGCCAGCTGTCACATGGAAGGAGACCCACCGTCGCCATCACTGCCGCTGCCATGCTGCTGCCACCGCCTCCACATATCACACAGGGGAGGCCCCACCGTTGCCGTTGCTGTCATCGTTGCGGTCCTGCCACCACTGCTCTGCCTGTCACGCGAGAGAGGTCGGCTGTCGTCTCTGAACCCCCTTTGTGATGGGCCTACTATTGGGTCTGATATAAGCACCCATCATCCGCCCACATCTCACACTGTAAATCTGAATAATTCTAGGAATATTTCATTTTTCCTGTTTCTGACTTTTCTGCACTTCCGTATGTCTCAAGGTTATATGCCTTGGACATTCATCTTAGTATAATTTAAATAATTACATGAACATTTTTTAAGAATGTATGCAAGTTAAAAAAGAATTCATGAAATGTGTTCTAAAATCTATTGTCTGTTTTCCATTTAGTTTGATTATATTTGAGTTTAGTTCGTGTGCTATTTTCTATCATTCTTCTTCAGTTATTATACAAAAATTAAATATTAACAATAGCTGCTGTTTGAAGCGAAATAAATGAGAAAGGCATGAGTGTGTTTATAGCATGTACATTTCTCTCAGATTTTAATAAGGAATAGATAATTGAGAGATGTCGAATAAACCGGTCCATCGCAGTTTTATAAGACCTGAACCAGGCCCATCCAAAATAATCGACAATATAACTGAGTATGGTCTTCATATTCCCGCTTTGTTTACAAGAAGATACTGAGTGGGAGAAAAGGGAACCTTTTACTCTCTCGACCTTCCAACTTTACAGGGACGCTAAGTAGTAGTACGAACAGAATGAAGGACTAAAAGCCTTGTCTGGATCTCTGCGGTTGTCAAAAACAACATGAAGCTAATTTTCGGATTCCTTTATGACATCTTATTTGGAATTTGTTCATCAAATACAAATATCTTGAATTTTGTTTTATGACTCCAGGAAAAGAACGAATATTTCAGACAATCGAAGCGTCTATGATGAGTTATGTAGATGCCGAGACACCTAGGGGAGTTTCCATTATTGTAAAACGGAAATTAAAGCATTGTTACAGGATCCTGATCTTGTTGTTAAAGTAATGCTGATGAGTGACAGAACCCATCTGATGGCCTAAAAAGGACATCACATAGTTTAGGAAACCATCCATGTTTTCTCAAGGGGTGTAGATCTTCCGAGACTTCTTTCCTATGGCTCAGGATCAAAAACTACATTTGTTTACCACTTGTGACACTATTGTATCGAGGAAATCAAATTGGTTTGCAATGCCAGAAAAGAGCCTTGGACTGTCCGACAGCCGGCTGACATTGTTTATTTCATACTGCCATCACGAGTAAACAAACATTCATTGTTCAAAAATAATGCATTCACATTCAATGTGAAATTAGAAAGTTATCCACCCGTAAGTAAATTTTTAGGCGACTCACGATCATTCCTGTATGTTAACATTATCAGATGGAAGTTTTTATTTACACCCATAAGTACACTTCTACCCTTTGTTAAACCAGTTTTTGCATGCATTTAGTTAACTCAAATGGACTTCCACGCAGCTTATTGTTACAGAAGATAATTTAAAATTTATCAACGTTTAGCTAGTAAAATATTTTATATTTTTTTGTCTAAGTTAATTAATAACAGAATCATAGCCCATAGAATTTCTTCTTTCAGTAAGGAAATAATTCAATTTATCTAGAGACAAATTTTCAATGGAACAATGAGAGAGATGTATTTATCCATTACGCCAATGTTATATCTTGCACAATATTCGCTACATAGTTCCCAATTAATGGTATCCAGTCTTACTTGAACTGTATGTCTTCACAAAACAAGTGGGAATAAGGGTTTTGGTTCAAATACGGACTTAGAAGGTGCCAGCATAAAAGTTAAAGCTACAGGCGAGTCTAATGTAGATTCCAACCTCTGGATTAATGAAATGCGACAATCAATGCCTCAAAATTCCCCTTTGAGTAGGATCCACCAAAAACCTGAGAAATAAAATTTTTATACGAACATTGTACAGCCTAGCAGCTTCGGCATCTTAATTCAGTCCAACCATACCAATGTCCTCTTCCTGAAGCACATCCCGGAGGAATCCTCCGTACATCTCAATGACCCAGGGAGACCAATGAAGCCCTATTCTTAGTTTTGCCTTGACAAAATTACAGTTTCACCAGCTTCCCGAAATTTGCGCTGCATAATGTTAGGCTGCAAAATCGTCCATGCAGATTATTTGAGAATCTTACTCCTAAAAAGTCTTAAAAAATTTAGGTACTTTTATACATATTTAAAACGATAATGCTGCTTGAGAAGAGCTTTTTGAAACGGAAACTTTCAGACAAATCCACCTGTCGTCTCTCTTTCTTTAATGCCAACTTTTGAAAACCTAAGGATGGTTAGGCAAGGTAGTAGAGTTTTTTTCGAGCTTCTTAGGGGACACAATTTGGGATCTGATATAAGACTAAGAGAAGCCAAGTCCAATTACGGTCCAAATAATCAGATACCTCGAAACATCCAATTTTGGAATGTCAAATAACAAACCTCCAAGTTGGAATGAAGGGTGTACTTGGATTTATATAGAATCTTAAATCTACATGAAGGGTAACTTTCATTTAGACAAGCTGCAGTGCTTGTGCATCCAAAGCCTATGACCGCCTGATGGATCAGGTCAAGTCAGAGAACCCTTCTTCATGTTTTTCCAATTAAATTTTCCTTCCTTTCAAAGCAGAACTAGCGAAAAGCATCAGTTGGTTTCCTTCAATGGATAGTAAACTGATATCATACCTAACTTGCTCAACATTCATATACCTTTCGATTGTTCATGTCGAAAGCCATGTATATGGCGATAGGGATTAACGGGAGTACATCAAGAAACCCGTCGTAATTCGTCAAATAGGGATTGTCTAAATAGCTAGCTCAGTACTCTAATTAAAGCCAGACGGAGTCGGCACCAATCCACATCCACAATAAATCTATTTCGAAGCCCGGACACCGCTCCAGCCCAGACGATTAGCTCTGGGCAGAACATCTATGAATCCAGAATCTACCTGGGCCAAATGTCAAATATATTGCTATATAAATGAAGACAGAAAGATATTACGGCTCAATCTGATGCGCTGGGCCCACTTGGTCATCGTCGTGAACCGTACGATGTTCACGTCTTCAGCCGTCGCGCCAATCATTTTCAATCAGGCCAGAGAATTTCGATAAGCTCCGCGCGTCACATAATAAACGCCAGATACTTCTTTTGCTCAGAAGTCAAGAAATGAAGCTATCGTACGGAAGGCAAAAGGTATTTTGTGGCCTGGAAGCTGTACGCCAGCTTCCCTGAACTGATCTCAATTTCAAACGTGGGATTTGTTACCCATCATTATCCTATGATTGGATAATTCCAAACAAAGCCGATTTCTTCCCCAACGCCCCCCTTTAGTTGACCATTTGAGAGAGGCACTCCATACGTTGTCCTTCGTCAACCTACGGAAACAGGATATGTTCAGAGGATAGAGTCGGAACCCTTTATATCATCATGAACGGTCAAGGCTGGTGTGCTAGAGTAGGGAGAGCAAAAGAGACTTCTAGAGATGAAAGCCGTTGGCCCCTTTCCTTGATTAGCCTTCTTCGCTGAAAATTTCGGGTTTCTTCTCCACATCTTTTCCTACACACGATCCAAATTGTACACAATTTTTCCGAGCATGAATGCCACACGATCATCTATAAATGCCGCAAGGTGCCTCGATCTTCATATTATTCCATCTCTGGTTCACAAAGACTTGAACTTGCACAGGCAGGAAAAATAATGTCGGATTGCAAAGGTAAGGAGCAACGTTCGTGTTCCTCGTTTGAAGGAACACTTTTTGTTGGATTATTTTTCTTCGATTCTCTCTTCGTTCAGGATAGTAGGTCTATTTCTTTTCACCGACAACATTGTCGTCAATCTTAAATTACACCACGGTTGAGATTAAAGTTTAATGGATGCATCATCACATTTCCTACGAACGCCATGGTACACATTACATAAAGCGTTTAAAATCATCGAATATCATTTTGAACCTTGTAAAGTAAAACTGTCGGCTGCCAATTCTAACTGCTGTTGGGATGGTGTATCAAGGAAAGGAATCGTGGCCGGAGCTAGTCGGAGCTGAGGGCAGCGCCGCCGCAGTGATAATCGAGAAGGAGAACCCTCATGTTGACGCCGTTATCGTCCATAAGGACCTAGGGACGGACATGCAGTACCGTTGCGACCGTGTCAGGGTGCGAGTGGACAATTATGGTATCGTGGCCGAAACACCGATTATCGGCTAGAAGGTGATGCTATGGGGCATTATGGCAGACTGGGATCCCTCTGCCTCGTCGTGTGATTTACGTTTCATTCCTGTTGGTAATAAAAATCTTGTGAAATAATCTATTGTGGAGGATGATAATGTTTTTGTCAGTTGCTGGTTGTTTGGAAGTGAATTTTCATTACGCCATCTTCTAGGTAAACCCCGGTTCCTAAAATAACAGGCCGACGGTGCCACTTTTTTCGGTAAACCTATGCGCCGTTGTTATTAACAGTAGCCTTCGGATAGAGATTGACGTATTCGCCCCAGATTGTAACCAGTGGTTGGTGGGCCAAAAGAGCATTAAGATCGGCAGCCGTGAATTATTTTGGAAATGTCATTCGTTAGAGACTATTTGATCTTCTTCCCCTCAATATATATTTAATATAATCTCCACTATACTGGACGAAGTATTAATCCTATGCGCGTTGTTTACAGAAGAGTGTTACCTTCAGCTGTCAACGTGGGTAATCTGCAGCTGGGACGCTTCCATCTATTTTCAAACTTAAGAAAAGCCATCTCAAAGTGACCAACAGAGAAAGACCGTATTTTCAGTCAATAAGAAAAGCATTCTCAGTACTTATTTACTTCCTTATCTCAATGAGTTTTACAAAGCTGAGACTTGCACAGACTGAGAAAGGTGGATCGGCATCATAAGCACAGGTAATTTTAAAAGGCTATTAGCTCAACCATAATGCCTTCTTAACTATTATAATGAATTCTGTTGTGATCTGTGGCCTTTCTGCAACAATGCCACGTAGAAATCAAATGCATAATTTTTTCACTTCCTTTTAATGTCAATAAGTTAAAGACTACTGTTAAATGCCCCGGCACGCAATCCGGGTTTTATAATTTTCACGTCCAGAACACAGTGCCAGAAACCGTCCACGCCAATTTTATATTGAAGTGTCTGGATCGTCTAGTTAAAAACTAGTGGGCACTGAACACAGAAATCTCATCTTTACAATGAAAATTTCAGATATTTCTCAGAAATATGAAAGAAGGCATGACGAGTACAATCATTCACTGGACCTCGTAAATATTACCTTTCGTTGTTTCAGATCAAATGTTCTAAACCTCCGATCTACTGCAGAGACAAATGTAGTAGTTTTGTTGACGAAACCCGCAGCTTAAAGTGAAACTTTATGGTAAGCTGGTCCGGTAAAACAGAAGCTTAAATGAACTTTCCAAATCTCTCTTCTCTCTGCAATTGTTCCCGTCATTTATGCGTAATGCATGGAATCTCTGACAAGTCTTTCACCACCTACGGACGAATGGGTGCAAGTCTGGTAATGTTTTCACACGTAAATATACTACATCGACTATCTTCAAGCTTTTCGATACGCGTACGAGATCACACATAATGATAGTTGATATGAGCATCTGACGAAGGTGAACATGGAGATCACGAGAAAATGTTGACAACAGTAACAGAGTAAGATTTTCGCTTTGATATTTATCAGTCAAGAAAGTCAACCTATGGGTTCTTAAAAAATGTAAACGTCTTCGCCGCGCAGATATTGTATTTTTTGATGGAGTCATGTTGTTAGTTGTGATAATGAAACATTTTACAAAAACTCAAATCTGATTACTGTGCTTTAAATTTTTAGTTGAGGATTTCGAGTTTCCTTCGTTGTATTCTTCTAGTGCTGCTGCTTAAAATATTCCATTTATCAAGCCTTAGGCATAAACGGAATTTCTGCTAGTTGGCCCGGTTAACTAACCTCCGTTATTCTGTAAACCTAGAGATGGTGAAAACCAAGGAAAATTGACGCATATTCGGGAAAATTTCCATCTGCCAGCAAGTGGTTGATAAGCAAGTTAATTTGAATTTGAAGCCTGAGGACTTCCTGATAATAAAAGTCCGGGACCAGAATCACCTTTCACATCTGAGCTTGGATTAGAATCCAATTCATACGACAATCGAGTTCAACCCAGATCTTTACTCTCATTGAAACAGATCTCACCGGCAGGATTAGAAACCAGTGAATCTTCATTACAGCAGGTATCATTTTTCCTTCATAAAGTCAGAAAATAAACAATAGTAGGTTCCGCGATACTTTCGTTTTCCCGCTTCAATGGTTATGCTAGATGAATTGGTTGCCCACCCGCATCCTAAACTCCTCTCCGTTAGATAAAGCCACTGGGATATGTAAGGCAAGTTCCATTTCTGCAATAACCATCATCTCTGTATTAATACATAGCCATGAGAACAGGGCTTCTTCACATCCTAGACAATGTGTGAAGTTCAACAACGATAAAACTCTCGTCTTCCCACACCCTGTCTTAGCGGTAGAGGCACGAGGGAGCACCGAGATCTTTCTCGCCTTTTAGCTTTCCCGCCTTCGTCAACGGGATTTTACTTCTCTGCCGCGGGAGTTCGCCGGCGCCGAAATGGAGCAGCGCCTTCTCCCCTGTATATTGGCCCTCGTCTTCTTCTGGGCTGCGGCAGTGGGCTCCCCAGCGGCGCCTCCGTCTGGTGAGCTCACCTCCCCCTCTGAGATTTTCTGTGCAATCGCCGCCTTTTCCGCCCCTCCTTTGGCTCAGCAGGTCGGATAATGTTCCTGCTTGGCGGCCGCAGGGAGGTATCGTACACTATAGACTGCGGAGGGACGGACTTCGACGGGCTCTTCAACAGGAGGTGGTCGGCGGACCGATCCTACTCCGGCGGCAGCGTCCCGGCAAAACTTCCCTCTGCACCAGAAGCGCACCCTCCGCTTTCCCCCTGTCCTCCGCCGGCAAGAAGGGCTCCCACGCGGTCACCATCCCACCCTGCCGGTGCTACATCCGAATCTTCACCGCCTACGACAATTATGACAGCAAGCTCCGCCCCCCAAGCTTCGATGTCCCGGTGGAGAGCACCTTCTTTTCAGCTGGCGGATTCCGTGGCCGGGGAAGATCACAAGAGACGGCGCCTACTCCGATCTCTTCGCCCGGTCGCCGACGGCCTGGCCGACGTTTGCTTCTAGCCGTGAAAGAAGGTGAGGGAATCGCAGCGGATCAAAGGCCTATTCGTCGTTATGCTTGACTGTTAATTAACGCCGTGAGATTCTTTATACGACAGCGTTATCCAGTACGATAGACTAGCGCAGGTCGCTATTTCGTACATGTTCTCACTTGGCGCTTCAGAAAACCAACATGAAGGGAAACATCAAGCCGCTAGGCCACTTCTGTGAAGTCTCTTCCCCTTTCTACGACTTTGAGAATACTTCGGGAACACTTCCCTCTCATCCATCGCCTTCTGAGAGGTGGTCCGTGCTAAGAGCAGGAGCATCGTGGCGTTATAAATCTCTGGGCTGAACAAGATGACACCTTAGGGAGGATAAAAGGGACGAAGTGACCGCGCCAGCGCACACGAGTCTCTACTGCCGTGATGCTGTACAACGGGCAGAGAAATACAACTGAAACGACTTCGTCTTCCTGGCCAAAGCTTCAAGCTTGGAGAACAATCGTGGAATACTTCCCTTTGGATCTGCCCAAACAGCATCATGTCGTTTTAGGAACTTCCCTTGAAAAAGGTTCTACGTATTCCGTTTCATGCGAAAGTTGCTCGTCGAAATAGGATAACAATAAATTCAAGCCAACTTTTCAGATGGGGTGGGAATTTTTATAACTATAAATGTTTCTGACCTGGCGACGTTTCTCGCGATAGAAAATGTTCTTTCTATAAGGGGCATGAGGTGAAACTTAAAGTGGAAAAAAACTAGCTGGTCGAGGGCATAAATTTTTCAAACAAAAGTGCGTCAGTCATTTTTTTCCTCAAATTTCTGCATCATGGTGATCAATGGAGGAAGTGAATCTCTCCCTTGACCTTAGATATTGGTAACAGCTGCACCCAGAAAATGCGTTACTCGAACAAGGAATACTAGTTCCTTCGTCAACCCTGACCGCGTAAGGATCAGATAAACTTCAAGATACATGCGAACCATTTTTTTACCACCTCCCAAAGGTCATGTGCTATTTTTCTTGCACAGGAGAAAGTACCTTAATATTGTCTAGTTCGACAGCAACTTTTTCTTGCACGGGTCGTCTCCTGCTCCGTGCAGTCTCGAACAAGGAGATCACACAAGTACAGATTTCACACATGGTGGTGTGGCTCGTCGACCTTTCCGGGCTCTCTTTATTGATTGCCGATTATAAATACTGCAAGGCATCTCTGATTCATTAGCATTCACCACCAATACAGAATTACCTGCACTTTCAGCGACGAAACTAGTAATGGGGAACTGCAAACGTAAGGAACGGGTTGATCTTCTTTGATTCAACCAAACTACTAGCAGGAGTCCGCTTCCTGATTTTCCTTCAGAAAGTTGTGGTACTTCTATTCATTTTCTTTTGGGTACAACGTAGATGATCCCAAGATCAACTACATCAACGCTAGGGATCATCAGATCCGTCATGTCGTTCCTGAAATAACTCTACTTACGCGTGCTTATTGTTTTGTGTGGCACATCTCAACTAAAAGGGTAAGAGCTCGTAGCCGGAACTCGTCGGTTACAAGGGGACCGATGCCGCTGCGATAATCGAGAACCCTCTTTTCGATGCCAAAATAATCACGGAAGTCGTTTGTTACTTCAGAGTTCCACTGCGACAGGATGTGGGTTTGGGTGGACAAACCCATCATTGGACAAACGAGGCGTTGTCTACAAGAGTCCTATATTGGCTAGCACGTTAGCTCAGCTGAGGCTGTTACTGAAAAGAGATTACTGATGGTAAATGAACCCTCCTTGTAAAAAAGAACCGTGCGTCTGTATGTCATGGTCAATAAACGCGCTGCGCATTTGTCTGATCTGAGAGGCTTACCTGTCTTATAGTTTAGCTAGTTTATCTGTCTTTCCTTTTATAGTTTTTTGTTGTGTCTGGTTCAAAAAAGCTGCTTACCTGGTGAATTTTATGGACCAAACAAACCAGAAGCTTCCCAAGCTCATGCTTTTACTTTTCTAGTAAGAGACTAACACCCTGGAGCTAACGTGGGCTCTTCTCCAGGGCCCACTGGTTTAGGTCAATATCTAATGCGTTCCCCATGCGTTTTTGGGATCTCACTGCTGCTTAGTATGAACCTATAAGAGAATCCAAATGGGATTGGACTGCTCGTCTTTAACCCCGAGAATGTCTATATTAGCACTGATGGTAGGAAAATGTCACTCACTATTCAATCAACTGTTAAGAGTACCTAGCGCTCCATTTAAGGGTTGCTGGAAAACAGACTGTCGGACTTGATTATTCGCTATTTGTTGTTCAATAAGAAGGATTTTATTTTTTTAAGTTTTATAATTTTATATTCGTTCCAAAATTTCAGAATTAGGATTAATTAAAGTTTTTTTTCTCGTTCTATCTAGGAGTATCCATTTACTCGATATTTATTGGCTTCTATCTCCACTTTGTGTAAGCATGACCGGTCTTTTTTAAGCTGTTCAATAGCTTCTTGACGTAACACTTGAGTTTCGATAATACTCAAGATGCTTTTTTCCGATTGTCTAATAGATCATTCATGTAAGTACTTGTGAAAACTGTTTAGGAGAAATGCCCTTGCCTATTATTACCAGAAAACTGAAGGAAACCTCGGAAACAGAGGGAAAGCGAGGAAACTGAGGAAGAATGGGACAAAGAAAACTTCCGAACCAAAAGAAACTATACAGGACGAAGACTGATCCACCGAAGAAAACTTTTATTTCGGTTACAAAGAAAAAGAAAACTCTAAAGAAAATAAATGAAATAAAACGAAATCCCAATGAATGGAAAAGAAAGGAACAAGGGATGAATTCCTTTCTAAAGAGATACTACAAGGACAGCATAGTTTTACGAAGACCCTTATCTTGATAGGTATCGAGAATAAGAACTTTGGCCATTAGAAAATAAAAAAAATAAAGAAAATTCTGATTTGGAAAACCTTCGAGGACTTACCTCTGCGATAATCCAAGAACCGTCTCGTTGACACCATCGTAGAGAGGTTGATCTCAACCTTCGAGGACTTACCTCTGCGATAGGGTGTGCGTGAGGGTTGACAATCCGACATCGTCGCAAAAACAACACTGATCGGCAAGTACAGTGAACTCTGCTCCTGCCGGACAGACGATAACAGTATAAAACCATGTTTGTTGAAGAAAGGAGTGACCCATATGACTTCCCGGGCTTATAACGCTCAATTTGTTTTCTCAGTCTGCGCATATCTGAATTTCAATAGAATTTAATAAAATTATGAGGTAAGGAAGCAATAGGATTGTTTCTTATGCATTGTGTAAAATGATTATTGTTTTCCGACATGCACCTTAGGAACGTCGACATATTAGAGTACAAGATAGTAGCTTCCTAACTCCAGGTTACCAATCTTCTCCATGAACGGGAGCATTATTCTGTAAACCAAGCATATAAGATTATTACTTGATTTAGTATATAGAGATTTTTACTTCAAATTTTAATCGTAGTGTCTCCTTGTCAATATGTGAAGTTAGCATAGGCACTATAGAGAGATATCTGAAGGCTAAGCTAATAAAAAGTCAACAGGAATTGTAGCATATGTACGATAACAAGTGGATTTCAAGTGTTAAAAGAAACGAAACAATCTTCATGAGACAGACATTGTTCCTTGTTATGCAAGATTTTTCCGCATATTAAGGTTGTTCACATAATTATGATGCGCTATGGTATGTTGCTTTCTCCGCTACCACATTTTATATAGCTTGACATTTCATGATGTCTTGGGGAATGTGACCAGATTAGGACTTAATGGGCCTGAGAATGAATAAACACAACAGCAGAAGAGAGCTTCACTAGAGAATGTCCACGAGAAGATATATGAGATAAGGTATAGTATACCGTAATAAAGCAATACGAGTTTAATGTGTTCTAACCAGGATAAAGACACCTCACGACCACTAATTAAGGAGAAGGGATAATTTCAAATATAAAGGGAGGAACAAAGTAAAAAGTTATATGGACTTAATGAAGCATTGATATCAGCCACCAGATGGGAGAGGAGGAGGAGAAGCCAAAATCCTGTTTCAGCCGCTAGAGATTAATCCTGCTTCCCATGCCTTTAATCTGTCTCTCTCTTTCCTTTCTTCTCCACAAGCCCTCTTTGAATATCTGTATTACAAAGGGGCTAGGCTGATTTCATACCTGAAACTAGTCCTAAACATGTGTGTAATGGTGACATGAGGTCCGGACGGAACTCTCCTAAAAGAAGAGTTGACTAAGTCACCCTTCCATGATGGTCACTAAATATGTTTCGCATAAATATGCACGTCCGTGTAGAACTAACTTTTATTCTCACCCGTTATCTATCGAGAAGAACAACTTGAAAAATTTTAGTACAGACATTAGGTGAAAAATGCATTCCCTTATCTGTGTTCTTCGAACCCAACAATAAGGCATCATCCTCTGCTATGAATGAGTTAATCTCTATTTAATGGATGTTCACCTTTATTCTAAGTGCACCCCATCGCGATTGGGTCGTTCCCCTTATGGCGACCTGAAGAAATAACTACACTGAGGAAAAAGTGGCGCCCTCAGTGTCAAAATCCTAAATAGGAGAAACCCCACTTAGTCAACTCGTGTGTGGGGCACGGACCTGATTAACTTCAACATAAACGTCACCAGTCTCTCCTTATTCGTTGATCATCTGAATGAAGTTCCCACCTTTTCCCACGTAAAATTCCGCCGCCAGATGACCCCGGAGGGGCCTCACCTTTGGATTAGTTCATTTCAACTCTCCACGGATTTATAATAAACGCATGAACACACTCACGCCCCCACCCCCCATCCCTCACCTTCCCTGGTGCTGCATACGAAAGGCAGAGGATAATGGAGGACGAAGATATCGGGTGCATAGGTACGAGACAATACCTTCTTCCCCTTCATCTCCCTCTCCCACTTCATCGTCATCAGTTGTTCCTCGAGCTAATTTTAATACATTCAAGTTTCACTGCGGCTGTGAAGGGAAGAGCTCGTGGCCGGAACTTGTTGGAGACCCGGGCACCGTGGCCGTGAGGACAATAAAGAGGCAGAACCGTTTAGTTAAGCCAATAATCGTAGAGGAGGGAAAGCATGTCATCGAAAACTTCCTCTGTTCCAGGGTCTGGGTTTGGGTGAACAAGAGAGGCATAGTCACCAGAATCCCGAGGATCGGATAGCCATTGAAGATGCCATAAAACTGCACGCTCGGATTCTGAAGTGAAGGTAATAAGAAAGGCCTGATCGTGTTTCAATAAACAAGGATATTTGTAACGTGTTTCTTTACATAATAAGAAAGGCCTGATCGTGTTTCAATACACTTTGTAGTGTGTACTTTGTACGCTATTGTTGATGAAGAACAAGCAGATACGGGTACCTAGCGCCCAGCCCGGCGACACCCGACTGTACCACGCCCGGCCGAGGGAAAAGGAACATGAGGGACCAGAGATGCCCCTCCCGATCACAAAATAAAACGAGAGTCAAGGAGATGATGTTCTTTCGGTCTACCTTTCTCGAAACTTTTTTAACTTCGCAGAGGCGCACCTAGCAATAGTATGATACAAATTAATAAACGAAGCCCATTTGGAGGATTTCTTTAAATGTGGATCTCGGAGTCTTCTCGAAAACCCCTCGAAGTTAATATTATGACTCCTTGAAGACGTCTGATCTGTAGTTTGTCTTCAAATACAGCCATTTGAAAGAATGTTTTTAGGACTTCAAAGGAGAATTTGTCTTTCAGAAAATTGAGGCAAGAAAACTACTGGACATGGCTGGCAAACCCACAGTGAAAAACCCTCCTCAACAGGTAGGTAAAGATCGAAGCACAAAAATTCCATGGACAACTTCAAAAGCTTCGGGAGATATCGAGGCTATGGAGCAACATTTTTTGAAGGAATATCCGAATTACTCCTTTTTTATTTTAAGGAATTACCTTATTTACTCCTTGACTCAATAACTCGATTTCATGTTTTTGAGATTTACCAAATACTGGAATCACAGGTTTTCCTATCACTAAGTATACCTGGAAAGATGGATACACCAGTAAAGCAATTTCAATAGAAGATTGTCTGCAAGCTAACAGCAGAAATGGGGGACTCCCATAAATCCATTTGCGCCAGTAACAACAACCACGGAGGATTGAAGACTGTTGCCGTGCTGCACTGCCAACAATACGATAATGTTTGCTTTATATGTACGAATTTCAAGCTTTGCCGCTAACGCGGATTGAATGTATGAACTGCAAGGCTCATCTGATAGTAACTGCATTCACCAATTGTATTAAGTCCCCCAGTACAATCCTACTTGATTATTGCCTTCATACAAAGAACCAATCCACATTAAGACCTTGAATTCGTTAAAGAATCACCTCTTCTCAGCTTCTGAATATCAATCCAAAATCACATATCATGAGAATCCGAAAGTCAAACAATGCTGACGTTCCATTACTTTAATCACTGCTAACGGATTTTCTCTACTATGCCAAACCCTTTGAGGAAACACATCCCTCTTTCTCGAGCTCAGGGAAAATTTTGGAGGCCACTGATTGGTTCTGGCTTAGAACCCCATAGAGGTCCAAATGGGATGAAAGGACTGTTCTTCCACAACACCGAAGACCCTAACACTAGCACTTATGATACCAAAATGTAACTCATTATTCAAGAAACTGTTCAGATTACATATAGCACCTTGTAAGGCTTGTTCGAAAACTCGTTGTCGAACCTAATTAATCGCTTTTTGTTGTTCAAAATGAAGGGTTTATTTTTTATAATTTTCTAATCGTTTCAAATTTTCAGAATTAGCATTAGTTAAATTTTCTTTTTCTCGTTTATCTGACCATAACCATTTACTCGGTATTTATTGCCCTCTTCAAGCTAGTGAATCGCTGCTTGACGTACCACACATGAGTTTCGAATAGTACTCAAGAGACTCTGTTATAGATTATCTAATAAATCATTACATGAAAGCACTTGGGTGCACTATTCAGGCGGAATGACTTTGCTTATAATTATTAGAAAACTGAAGGAAACATCAGAAACAGACGGAAAGCAAGGAAATATGAGGAAGAATACGACAGAGGAACAACTTCGGAACCAGAAGAAACTAAACAGGACGAAGAAGGATCCACCGAAGAAAACCTTTATTTCGGTTCCGAAGAAAAAGAAAGATCTAAACAAAATAAATGAAACAAAAGAAATCCCTGTGAATGGAAAGAAAAAAAACTAAAGGATGAATTATTTTCTAATGAGACATATTGCAGGACAGCACATTTTATCGAAGACTCTTATCTTGATATGTATCGAGAGAATGAACTGAATTAGAAACTAAAGAGGATAAAAATCTTTTGTGATTTGAAAAGCCGCTTGTTAATTTCTTTTTTAAAAGCGTGTATCAGAGGCATGTTCAAGGGTCAGCGCCTTTTACAGAGGGGCCCATTACTCGCCTACCTGGAGAAGATCAGTCCTGGCTTGATACCTAGCTCAAGTCTACAAAGTGGCATAATATTTTCCAGGATTTAGTCTAATTTATGTTTATTTATATAATTTTCAAATTCAATTAAATTGGCGCACAAAAATGAGTACTTATGTGCATAAAAGATTTCAAGAGTGAACATAATTTGAACTTGGTAACCATTCTAACTAATATTCAAGTAAAGATCCCCGCTTAGCTACACAAAGACGTGAAACCCCAGATTAGTGTCCCTCGTTATCTAATCTGGGCCACCGTGGACCTCTCAAATGAGACGAGATCATCCCCGGGACCTGATCTCGTCCATTGAAATTGCAGTTTCCCGTATCAACCAGATCTCAACATTCTCACTTAAGAAATAGCCTCTCTTGAACTGTGGAACTGTTTAAAGCATGCTAATTGTCAGAATCGTACGTCATCATCATGAGTATGCTCTAGTGCGGGTATGTTACGTGTTCAGAGAAGAGCTCCTAGCCTAAACTCGCCAGAGAATCTGGGAGTACCGCGGTAGCGATAATCGAAGAACCCTCTCATCGACACCATCGTAGAGAAGTCGGCCTCTACCTTGGAGAGGGACTTACCGCTGCGACAGGGTGTGGGTGTGGGTTGACGATTACGATATGGTCACAAAAAAAACAGAACGGCTAGCACTGTGAGCTCTGTTCCTACAGACACACGATAGCAGTATAGAAACCATGGTTGTTGAAGAAATGAGTGATTCCATTTTATTTCCTGGCTTATAATGCTCAATTTGTTTTCTCCGTCCGTGCACATCTGAATTCCATAGAACTCAATAAAATTACAAGTAAATAAACATTAAGATCGGTTCTCATGGAGGGATAAAACGATGGCTAGTTTTCGACATGAACCTTGAGAAAATTGTCTATATTAGAGTACCAGATAGAAGCTTCCTAACCTCAGGTTGCCAATCTTCTCCATGAAAGGCAACACTGCTCTATAAACAAGTATAGTAGAGATTTTTACTTCAAATTTAATCGTAGTCTCTTCTTGTTGATCTGTGAAGACAGGCATTACAGAGAGATATATGCAGGCTAAGCTAATAAAAAGTTATCAGGACTGTAACGTACGTTTAGTCTCAGTATAAAAAAAAAATTAAAAATCTCCGGGTCCTTCTCCATGATTTTTCTTCATATTGAGGCTTTGTAGATTATTCTGATGTGCTGTTGTGTGCTTTTTTCTCCTCTACTATATTCCATATGCGTTGACCTCTCGTTCTGATCATGAAGTGTATTCCGTGTAAATATGCGCGTCCGTGTAGAACCGACTTTTATTCTAACACATTATCTATAGAGAAGACCAACTTGACAATTTCTAATAATGATATAATCTAAACTATGCATTCCCTTTGTTAATGTGCTCTTAGAACCCATCCATCAGGCATCCTCATCCGCTCCAAATGAGTCAAACTCTATTTAATGGATCCTCACCTTAATTCTTAGTGAACCCCATCCCGATTGGTTCATTCCCCTGATGACGACCTCTGGAACTACGTCGAAGAAAAGTGTTGCCCTCGGCGTCAAGATCCTGAATAGGAGAGACCTGGTTGGATAAATCGCCGTGTGGAATTTTGCGGGAATCCACAACTAGTCAATAGTCAACTTTTGCGGGAACCCGATAAACTTCAACGTCAGCCGTCTATCTCCTTATTCTTTGACCATCTTCCTGTTCTTTGCCCTCTTAATGAAGTTCCCACCTTTTCTCACCTAAAATCCTGCAGCCACATGACCCGGCAGGGGCCTCACCTCTGATCAATTCGTTTCCTCACCATGGATTTATAATAAATACTTCAAGAGCGCTCATGCCCCCCGCCCCTCTCATCACTCATCTGCCCCCTGCTGCTGCATGCGAAAGACAGACAACAATGGACGATGAAGATATCGCGTGCACAGGTACGAGATAGCGTCTGATTCCCCTTCATCTCCCTTTCACACCCCACCGTCATCAGCTGTTCCTCGTGGCTAGCGGATAAATTTTAATATATTCAAGTTTTACTGAGGATGTGAAGGGAAGAGCTCGTGGCTAGAGCTCGTCAGAGCCAGGGACAGTGGCGGTGACAATAATAAAGAGGGAGAACCCTCTAGTTCAGCCAAGAATCGTAAAGGAGGGGATGGCTGTTATCCTTAACTTCCTCTGTAACAGGGTCTGGGTTTGGGTGAACAAGAGAGGCACTGTGACCAGAACCCCGAGGATCAGATAGCCATTGAACATGCCACAACTACACGGTGGGAGTCTGAAGTGAAGTTAATAAGGGAGGACTGATCGTGTTTCAATAAACAACGATATTTCTAGCATGTATTTTCATTTCTTCGCGTACCGCTTTGTTTTCTCGTGTTTATACGCTATTTCTATGAAGAAGAAACAGATATATGGGAACCTAGAGCTCAGCCTGCTGACAGCCCGGCTGAACCACACCCGGCCAAGGCGAAAAAAAAAACATAATAACCGAGCGGAGGGTCCAGAGATTCCCCTCCCGTTCACAAAAGATACGAGAGTCACGGAGACAAGCTCCTTTGCTCTAGCTTTCTCAGAACGTTTTTCACTCTACAGAGAGACACCAAATACACTCATCTGGAAGCGAATATTGTGACTACTTGAAGGTCGGACCCCTTTTTTGTCTTCAAATACACCCATCTGGAAGAATGTTTATAGGATTCCAATGGAATAGAACTGGTCTTTCAGAAATTGAGTCATCCATGACTACATCTAGACACAAGTGGTAAACCGAGAGGCGAAAACACTCCTTGATGTGTACGTAACGATCAAATCAGAAAAATTCTATGGGTAACTTCAAAACCATTAGACAATATAAAGTCCATGGAGCAATATTTGGCATTCACAGTATCTTCAAAGAGAGAGACACTCCAGTGAAATAATTTAGAGTTTCAGAATACTAGTGACAACTTGACAGTATTTGTTGATTTAGATTTTCAAGAGATCTTGACAGAAGATCATTCCTCGAATATATGCTTTCAGTTTGTGGTTCTGTTCGTAGTGGAGAAAGTTTACTTATAGCTTACTATTTTACCATTCACTACGAAAGAGAATTTACGATAATTACACAGACGTTAAAAGTAGTTATCTGATTAAAAGGTTTATTTTTTGAACTTAATTCATGTCATAATTTGACTATTGTCTATTATATTAGTTGTATTATGAATGTAATCAAAGATAATATGTATCAAGAAAACATAAAGTATATTAATGTCAAAAATTATTTATTCACAATAGTAATTTCAAATGAGAAAGTATTGTGCAAAAGATAGTACGAAAGATAATACAACTGAAATGTTAACAAATTCGATTCAATCTTTGAAGTTTTAACATCATTTGAACATAGTCAGAGTTTGTAGTACATGACACTAACCTCCTGTGAAAGGAAGTATGCAACATTTATTTTTTGTTGTAGTTATGAGAAGCTGACGGAGTTTTCAACGTAAAACTTGAAGACACGTGTTGACCAAACTAAGGTGGAGATTTCTAAGGGTGACTTGGTCAACTCATTTTTAAGAGAGGTCCATTTTGACCTCTCCTCTTTTACCTTTATTTTAGGAACTAGTTTCAGATACAAAATCAGTCTAGTCCTATTGTAATACAAGTATTAAAATTAGGCACGGGAGAGAGAAAAAGAGAGACAAAAATCAAGAGTACACTAAATCTTTTTCTCTTTGGCAGCTAAAATATAGATTATGGCTTCTCCTCGTCTCCCTTGTGGTGGTTACGGTGTAGTTTCATTAACCCTATTTACTTAGGCATCTCATTTCTTATTAACAATGAGTTTTCTCCTCCTTTGAGGCCGTGAGGTGTGTTTATCCTCTTCAAGCCTTATAAAATTCCTTGTATCTTTATTCTAACATATTTCTCTATCATTTATACGCTGTGGACATTCTCTCCTCGTGCTCTCATCTTCCACTGAAACACCAGGCCTCATTTATGGCCCAGCAAGTCATAACAATCTGGTCTCACTCCGTAATACCTTGAGCAAATTATCTGTTGGTTGTTAATGGATACTCTGAACTTTTATCCCCTTTTGAACTAGCTGTAATTCAATCTCTAGACCGTACAAGTGCATGCTCGGTGGAGTAACTATGGGCACTTAGAAGAGGCAAGCTTCCTTCCTTCTTGTATGGAAGCATGTCTGCGTAGGCAAAGTTTGTGAGTTTTTCTAGTTTTTCCAAACTCAATTACTTTCGTTCTCATACTTTCAAAAACTAATTGATTTTGAAATCTAAAATCTACACATTTAAAACATAAGGGACAGATGGTTGGTTCTTTTGAATATCTCATCTCAAAAAATTATCAATACCCTAGTTTCCTCCAATTTAAACCCGTATTGAGAGGATGGAGTATTCATCCAAAATATCATCTCAACGTATATAATTTTCCTCCCAATTTGGTCGTAAAATTGACAGTTTTATTTGGATCATGCAGCATTGATCCGAATGTCACTGAGGTTTAGTCCAAATAAAACAAACAGTGGAAAAGTTCGATGATATTAGTCTCTTCTCGTGTGAGTCCCCAAAAAAAGAGCGCGCTTGGCCTCAGGCAATGCATCTTGGCAATGCATGACATTCTTAAATGGCAGAGAACTTTCTGCACATCATAAAATTCTTAGGTTTTGCTATGACCGATAACATTCCTTTTCGTTAGTCACCGGAAGTCTCCATAGGTTTCTTTCATCACCGAGCTTCGGATGGCGCACTCAGTATTTAGACGCTTTGTCTGGTTAAGTATTGTGAATATATAATTTTTATAAAAAATGGTACGTCATGTGACTATTTTTTGTTCCTCTTTTCCCATTCCCCCTATTGAATAGGGAGACCGAGGAGAAAGTCGAAGTTAGCCCCACTCCTCGGCCCAAAACCTTAGCCGTCACATCTTCACTAATGGCAAGAAAGTCTAATGGAGAACGAAAGAGAGTAAAAACAAAGTAGTTTAGTATTTTAATAAATCATTTCAATCTCCCGTTTCTCCTTTCGCCCAATTGCCAAGGGGAGAGATAACAGGTGATTGTTGAAAATATGACAAAACATGTTAAAAAAAAACTACTACAATCTAGTTTGACCGACAAACGTACAGATCATGCAGCGACTATCTTCAAGCTTCTCGATGCGCGGACGTGCTCACAAGTAATGAAAGGAGTTAGCCTCAGGCAGTTGGTGGTGGTTAAGATCATCTGACAAAACGGAACGTACAGATCACGACAAAACGGAACGTAGCAGAGTAAGGTTTCCTTTTTCATATTTATCAGTCAATAAAAATCAACCTTTGGGTTCTTAAACACTGTGTACGTCTTCATCGCGCAGCAGCTGTATTTTTTGATGAAGTAATATCCTTAGCCATTATAATTAAACATTTTACCAAATTTCAAGTCCGATTACTATGCACTTTAAATGTGTACTTCACGAGGATTTAGAGTTTCTTCCATCGTAACCGTCTAGTAGTTCTATTGAAAATATTCCATTTTCCAAGTCTTAGATAAAGCTGAAACGTTGCCATTTGAACGCGCTCTGTTATTCTGCAACGCTGGACTTGGTGAAAACCCAAAAAAATTGGCACCCAAACTGAACTTCTGGTAGTTTTAAACGATGTGAAGTATGCCAGCAACTGGTCGCTAAGTAAATTATTTTGGGGTCGAATCCCCAAGACTTCCTGATAAACGCGCGGAAAAATGTCTGCCCGGCTTAAAAGACCGGGTCCAGATCAGCTTTCATACGAACCTATTTTATTCACCTGAGCTTGGATTAGACGATGTGACACATCTCATCGGCAGAATTAGAAACCAGTTAATATAGATTACCGAGTCAGATGCAATCCCGCAGTCAGCATATCAATTTTCCCTCATAAAGTGAGGGAATGAAGAAGAGTAAGTTTCACGATTCTTTCCATTTCCCGATTCGTTTGTTTCATCAAATGAATCGGTTACTGACCCGCATCCCAAATTCTTCTCCATTAGATAAACCCATTGGCATATGTAACGCCGAGGATCATTTCTTGAATAACCATCCTCCCTGTATTAATAGACTCACATGACGAGAGCGTTTCTTCACATCCTACGCAATGTGTGAAGTTTCAACAACGATATACCTCTCGTCCTTCCACACCCTGTTGCAGTGGTAGACCTTCCATTAAGTTTCTCTACGATGATACAGCGGCAACCAGAGGGCGTTCCCTCTCGACTGCATACTGACTGGAGCGAACTATGCCTCTGGCGTGAGTACTACGAATTCAGTCAGAATAATCTCAAGAATTTCAAAATGACAACGGTGGAACACTCAAAGAGTATTACAATTCGTGTAGTGGCGCAAGTGTTTCTAGATCTCATGACTGCCTACCAAGTTACTCATGTTCTGGTTATATTACATAGTCTTGATAAATTAGGAGAAAACTATACTCCATGGTGGTGATAGAAGCTAAATCACGTTGGACTCCCTTCTCCCTTTGAATCAAGCTCACTAATGATCGCAACAAGTTATACAGGGTTACTTATACATTTCTACTAACTAAACGCGTTGACTCAGTTAAAGTATGTACCCTTCTTAAAAATAACTAACAGCTAGTCATTTTCGAGACAATTCTATGATATATGAATTCGACCTGAAGTTTTTCGTCGTTTTTCTAACATCCACGGTACGAACCCATGCTTCACATGTTTTATTTGTTCGCGTTATTCATCAGTTATCTTATACCATAGAAAGGAGCATCACATGTAGAGACAAAAGGGCTGTGCAAATGAAAGCCCGCATGAAACGTTGGTGGACGAGAGAGACACATAAGTGGCTGATAATATTTATCCTGGTCAAAAAACCAGAGCCAAGAATATTTTACAATTAGCCGCACTTCTGCCCACAACTTCTGGCCATACGAATATCCGATAACTTTAAGCCAAGAGTCCTATTCTTCCTGATGTTTGACAGTCAATGAACGCCGTCGCTATTTCCTCCATGTTCCCACTTGGGGCTTAAGGAATCCAAGATACAAGGAAACGCCAAGCCGCTAGTCCAATTGTGTGAAGACTCTTCCCCTTTCCACAACTTTGAAAATACTACGGTAACCATAAACCTTCCCTCTCATCCATCTCCCTCTGAGATCTCGTTCCGGCTAAGAGTAGGGACATCCTGGCGTAATAAATCTCTGCGGTGAACAAGATGACAACTTAGGGGAGACAAAAGGGACGAAGTGACCGCGCCAGCATACACGAGGCTCTACTGCCGTGACACTGTGCGACAGCAAGAAGAAATAAAACTGAAACGACTTCGTCGTCTTGGCCAAATCTTCACGTTTAGAAAACAAATCGTGCAATACTTCGGTTTGAATTTGCCCGAACACCATCGTGTCGTTTTCAACAAAGGAAAATCAACCTTGAAAATTACCAATTTCGCCGGATCGCATTGTTCTTTTTAGCAACTGCCCTTGAAAAGGTTCTACGTATTCCGTATTCAGAAGAAAGCTGCTCGTCAAAGACGGGATAGCAATAAATTCAACCAATGCTTTCAGACGGGGTAGCGAATTCTAACTAGAAAGATTTCTGACCTGGCGACGTTGCTTGCCAAACATTTCATCCGCTGATTCTTATGCAAGAAACTGAGAGCAAGAAGCCGACCGACTGACCTATTAGGTGCCAGACGTGAAACTTAGAGCGGAAAAAATTTCGAACCATCTAGTCGAGTGCATAAATTTTTCAAACATAAACGCGTCATTTATTTTTTTCCCTCTTGGTCTGCATCATGGTGATCAATTGGGAGGAGGAAGTCCATCTTCCCCTTGATCTTTGTTATCGGTGACAGCTCCACCCCGATAAATCCTTTTTCAAACAAGGAACAATAGTTCCTTCCCCAACCCTGACCGCGTAAAGATCAGATAAGTATCAAGATAAAAGCAAAACCATTTTTTACCTACCTCCCAAAGTTCATATGCTATTTTTTTTGCACAAGACAAAAAACGTTATTATTGTCTACTTCGATAGCAATCTTTTCTTGCGGGTCGTCTCCTGTTACGTGCAATCTGGAACTCGGACATCCCACAAGAATAGATTTCACACATGGTTGCGTGGCTCGTCACCCTTCGGGGCTCTCCTTATTGATGGTCGACTATAAATACTGCAAGGCATCTCTGATTCATTCGCATTCACCACCAATACAGAATTACCTGCACGTTCGGAAACGAAACGAATAATGGGGGACTGCAAAGGTAAGGAACGGGTTGATCTTCTTTGATTCAGCAAAACTATTTTGCTGGAGACCGTTTCCTGATTTTCCTTCAGAAAGTTGTGGTACTTCGATTCATTTTCTTTTGGGCACAACGTAGATGATTCTGAGCTAAACCACGTTCACGTTACGGGTCATCAGATCTGTCACGTCTTTCCTGAAATGACTCTACTTATGCGTGCTTATCGTTGTGTGTGGCATGTCTTAACTATGAAGGGAAGAGATCATGGCCGGAACTCGTCGGTTACAGGGGGACCGCCGCCGCTGCGATAATCGAGTACCAGAACCCACATGTCGATGCAATAATCGTCAAGAAAGGGACGATTGTTACTGCAGAGTTCCTCTGCGACAGGGTGCGGGTTTGGGTGGATGAGGGAGGTATTGTCTACAGAACTCCGATCATCGGCTAGCACGTTAACTCAGCCTGAGGCTGTTGGGTGAAACAATTTACTGATGTCAAATAAAGGGACCTCCTTGTGGTGAAGGCCCGTATATCTCTATGTTATGGTGAATAAACTCCCCGCGCATTTGTCTGGTCTGGAGAGGATTACTTGTCTTATAATTTTTCTAGCTTATTGGCCTTTAGTTCTATAGATTTTTGTTCTAGCTGATTCAATAATACTGCTTACCCTAGTAAATTTTCTGGACCAGCCGAACCAGAAGCTTCCCAAGCTCATGCATTTACTTTTCTAGTAAGAGACTAATGCCCTGGGGCTAACGTGGGCTCCTCTAAAGAACCAGCTGGTGTAGGTAAATATCTAATGCGTTTCTGGGATCTCAGGGCTCCTTGCTTAGAACCTCAAAGACGTCCAAATGAGATGAAAGGACTGTTCTTCCACAACCGCGAAAATCCAAATATTAGTACTGATGGTACCAAAATGTAACTCACTGTTCAAACAACTGTTCAGAGTCGTAGAGCACATTGTAAGGCTGGCTGGAAAAATTATTTTCGAACTTGATAAAACGATTTATTTTTATAATTTTCTAATCGTTCTAAATTTTCTAAATTATCATTAAATAAATTTTGTTTTTCTCGTTCTATCTGGCAGCATCCATTTACATAATATTCATTGGTTTTTCCTAGCTGTTAAATCGCTGCCTGATGTAACACCTATGAGTTTCGAATAGTACTCAAGATACTCTATTTTAGATTAGCTAATAAATCATTTAACGATAGTACTTGGGCATACTTCTCAGGCTGAATGACTCTGCCTTTTATTAGAAAACTGAAGGAAACCTCAAAAACAGAGGGAAAACGAGAAAAATGAGGAAGAATGCGACAAAGGAACAACTTTGGAATCAAAAGAAAGTAAAAAGGACGGAGGAATCAACCAAAAAAAACCTTTATTTCTGTACCAAAGAAAAAGAACGATATAAACAAAAATAAATGAAACAAGAAAAAATCCAACAAAGGGAAAAGGAAAAGAAACAAAGAATGAATTATTTTCTTAAGAGACGTACAATAAGGACAATCCATTTTTGCAATGTTTTTTTTCTTTATAAATATCAAGAAAATGAACTTTAGGAATTAGAAAATAAGGAGGATTAAAATCTTTTTTTGTTTGGAAAATGGCTTAATGCTTTTCTTTTCAAAGGCATATTTAAGGGTTGGCACCTTTTACAGATGGGCCCACTATTTTCTACCTAGAGTGGATTAAACACAACAAAAATGTTGACTTGATCATGATTTTATCGAGTTAATGTAGCATGAGGTTCACATTGTTTAAATTTTTTCGTTGAATCAATGAAATAGTTTATTTTTGTGAAAATCATTCACCTTGAATACATAAGGTAAAGAAACCTTTCCCTTTTAGTTCACAAGGGGTTGATCCTGAGTCCATAGAGGTACTAGAATCCTGTAGTAGAGATAGAGAACCTTTAGAGATGTAGGAATTTTTTAAAAAGGTTAATAAAATGTGAATTACATCTGAGGCTACAAGAGGGCTTTTATATAGGTTGACATTAAGTTACAACATAGATAGAAAAAAAGGAGGAATCTATTATGATCCTAGAAAATAAGAAAAATACTTGGAACGTTCTTATAGAAAAGACAGATTCTATTAGAATGGCCCTAGAGAATAGAAACTCCTAAACAGAATAAATAAATTATTTTACATAAATAAAACATGAGAATTGAGATTTAGGCATATTTAACATGTATTTAAATCCCTTATTGGGCTATTTTGAGTTCAATTTTAGCCAAATAGTCTTACACCTCTTGAGCCTTTGATTCAATTGAATTAGGCTGAAGTTGTATTGGACTCCATTTTAGTATGAAAATAATAACTTTTCAGCATCTTTGATTGAAATCCTACCATTTTTCTCCAATTGGATGAAAAACTTTTCATCTCGCATTTGACACCAATTTCAAAGCTACATCAAGATTAGACCAAGCTTGATATGTTGGGTAAGTCTACAAAGCGGTGTCATATTTTCTTATCTATTTATTTCCATTTGTATCTTTTTCAGATTCAATTAATTTGGCGCAAAAAAATGAGTAATTATGTATATAAATGATTTCAACGATAAATATGATTTGAACTTTGTACCATTCTAACTATTATTCAAGTGAAAATCCCTGCTTAGCAGCACAAATACGTGAAGCCCAAGATTAGCGTCGCACGTTATCTCACCTGGACTAACATGGACCTCTCAAATGGGACGGCATCATCCCCAGGACCTTATCTAGTCCGTTGACATTGCAGTTCTCCGTATCGACCAGATCTCAAGATTTGCACGTAAGGAATAATCCTTGTTGAACAGTGAACTGTTTAAAGCACCCTAATTGTCAAAAGCCTACGTCATCCTCATGAATATGCTCGAGGATTAAGTTGCACAGTCTTTCGGTAGAGCTTACGGAAAGAGTGTGGGTACTTACGTGTTCAGGGAAGAGCTTGTGGCCTGGACTCGTCAGAGAACCGGGGAACCCCCTCGTCGAGAGTAAGAACCCTCTCATCGACGCCATCATAGAGAGGTTGGCCTCAACCTTTGAGGAACTACCGCTGCAACAGGGTGTGAGTGTGGGTCGACAATTAAGGGTGTGAGTGTGTGATTGGCCAGCACTGTGAACGCTATTCCAAACGAACAGATGGTAGCAGGATAGAAACCGAGGTTTTTAAATAAAGGAGTGAGTCAATTTGATATTCTGGGCTTATAATGCTGAATTTGTTTTCTCGATTTCTGCAAATCTGAATTCCATAGAACTCAATAAAATTACAGATAAATAAGCAATATGATCGTTTCTCATGCATTGGGTAAAAAGATGGCTCTTTTCCGACAGGAACCTTAAGAAAATTCTTTATATTAGAATACCAGATAGAAGCTTCGTAACCCAGGTTGGCAATCTTCTCCATGAAAGGGAACATTTTTCTGTAACCTATGTATATAAGATTAATACTTCATTGAGTATAATAGATATTTTTACTTCAAACCGAATTGTAGTGTCTTCTTGTCGTTCTAACAAAGGCATTACAGATAGATACATGCAGGCTAAGCTAATAAAAAGTCATCAGGACTTTAACGTACGTGTAGTAAGACGTGGAGTTTAGGTATAAAAAAAATCGTAACAATCTCGATGTGATAGATATTTTTCCTTCTTCTCCGTAAGTTTTCTTCATATTGAGGCCTTTCACATAGTTCTGATCTGCTTTGGTGTGATGTTTTGTCCTGTACTATATGCCAATGGGTTGACATTTCGTAGTGGTGATTAAATGTATTTCGTGCAAATATGCACGTCCGTGTAGAACCAACTTTTATGCTAATTCATCATCTATCGAGAAGGACAAATAAGTCAAGTCTCTATTTAATGGATGCTCACATTAGTTCAAAGTGGACCCCGTCGCGATTGACTCGTACCCCTGATAAGGACCTCCGGAAAAAACTACGTCAAAGAAAAGTTGCACGCTCTGCGTCAACATCCTGGATAGGATAGCCTGGTTGGATAGATCGCCCTGTGGAATTTTGCGGGAATTCGCACTTTGTCAACTCTTGCGGGGCGCGGACCTGTTTAACTTCAACATCAACGTCAGCCGGCTTGATGCAGTTCCCACCTTTTCTGACTTAAAATTTCGCGGCCACGTAACCCGGGAGGGGCCTCACCTCTGATCAATTCATTTCAACTCTCCACGGATTTATAATAAATACTGCGAGAACACTCACACCCTCACCTCCCCTGGTGCTGCATGCGAAAGGCAGACGACAATGGGGGACGTAGGTATCGGGTGCGGAGGTACGAGAAAACGTCTGCTTCCCCTTCATCTCCCTCTCTCACCTCACCGTCATTAGTTGTTGCTCTAGCGAATTTTAATATATTGAAGTTTTCCCACGCATGTGAAGGAAAGAGCTCGTGGCCGGAGCTCGTCGGAGCCCCAGGGACCTTGGCCGTGACCATAATCGAGAGGCAGAACCCTCTAGTTCACGCAGGAATCGTACCGGAGGGGACGATCGTCATCCTCAACTTCGTTTGTAACAGGGTCCGGGTTTGGGTAAACAAGGCAGGCATCGTTGTCACAACCCCCGTGATCGGATAGCAGGGAAGATGCCACACAACTGAACGGATCCGCCTCTGAAGTGAAGTTAATAAGAAAGGCCTGACCGTGTCTCAATAAACAAGGATACTTGTAACGTTTATTTTCATTTTCTTCGTGAACCCACTTTGTTTCCTCGAGTTTTTACGCTGTTTTTTATGAAGAAACAGATGTATGGGAGGCTTGGGATCAGCCCGACTGAACAATCCCCGGCCAAGGAAAAAGAAACATAACTGCGGACGGTCCAGAGATTCCACTCCCATTCATAAAAAGACACGAGAGTCAAGGAGAAGAAGCTCTTTTGGTCTCCAAAATTTTTTTTTTACCCCACAGAGACGCACCAAACAATAGTACCATACAAATTGGTATACGAAGCCCATTTGCAGGACTTCTCTAAATGTGGATCTCGGAGTCTTCTCCAAAACCACTCGAAGGTGATACGATGACTCCTTGAAGACGTCTGATCTGTAATTTGTCTTCAAATACTGCCATTTGGAAGAATTCTTTTAGGACTCTACTGAAAAAGAACAGATCTTTCAGAAATTGACCCATCCACTACTTCTAGGCACGGCTGGCAGACCCAGGGGGAAAAACCCTAAAAAATGAATACTTCAAGATAGAAGAACAAAATTTCAATGGAGAACTTCAAAAACTTCAGGAGATATTGAGGCCATGGAGCAATTTTGGCCACTTACGATATCTGGGAAGACGGAGACATCAGTAGAGCAATTTCAGTAGCTGATTATCTGCAACCTAAGAGCAGAAACGAGGTTCCACTTGCACCATTAACAACATTAACTATGGAGAATGATTGCTTTATATATATGAATTTCAAGCTTTGCAGCTAATGCTGATTTAATGTATGAACTGCAAGCCTCGTGTGAGGAAAACTTGATCCACCAATCGTATTAAGAGCCTCCCAGTACAATCCTACTTGATTATTTCCCTCATACAAAAAATAAATCCAGATGAAGACCTTGAATTTGTTAAAAAGAATCATCACCTCTCCGTTTCTGAATATGCAGGCGAAAATCACAGATCATGAGAATCCGAATGTCACAAACAACGCTGATGTTCCATTACTTTAAACACTGACAACGGATTTTTCTCTACTCTGCCAAATCCTTTGAGAAAGCACATTCCTTTTTCTCAAGCTCAAGAACAAGTCTGGAGGTCACTGATCGTATAGGTACACAGGAAGACCGAAATTCTTGATAAATGGAAGAACAATATTACCATTTTTGTTCAACCGAAGGGGAGTTCCGCTTCTCTTCCCTACATTTGCATTTTTTTATTTTTACATGGAATTAGGTCACGGAGAAATAGTCTCGAATGTTATCAGTTCCGGTACGTAGACCAAATAATACAATGCGAGCAAAAGTTCCTAGATTCATGGCGATATAGAACAGCATCTATTAAGTTTATATTAAAAATGATAATTTAAAATAGACTTGCTTTTTGCTTCTTCGAATCCATTTCCTTTTTATTTTTTTATGAAAAAAAAATAAAAAAGTCTTTATCCTGAGAAGTCTCAGCAAGAAAAGAAAGAAATCCAAGTATTAATCCCTATTTGCTAGTTAAACCTAGTCTTTTTTTTTTAAAACATATTAGCATTGCTTCCATTTACGGAGGACTTAGACAGTAGAACAACCTCTTTGTCCATAACAGTCTCTAGTAAGTGATTCCAAAATTGATAGTCGTCATTCAGATTGGAAAGCCTCAATAATTCTAAAACTTTATCCCTGTTGGCGACATTTCGACCAGCTCCGCAGCCAGTCGCAGTTGCAGCACCCACTGCATTTGCCAGAGCCAGCATCTCGATCTCTGGCATATTCTGCAGATAACCAAAAGCAATTGCTGCAGTAAAGCTGTCTCCACAACCAACCGTATCGAATACATTGACCTGATGAATACATTCCACACAGAAAAAAGGTTAATAATCCTCTCCAATGATACTTCTAAGCATTAAAAAGACGTAGCAACACAAAACAGTAGTAATTGAAACACAAAAGATATTGTACTAGAACTTAACTAGATCATACCTCAAACGCAGGTGCACAGAATACACAAGACTTGGTTACTAAAACTGATCCTTTTGAGCCTATTTTAATGATGACCCAGTTTGTACGAGTTCCTTGACTGATCAATTTTTGCCCAGCCAGAATCGGACTTGGTAGTCCAGTCAGTGCTTCAGCCTGATATTTGACATTCATCACAACAAAGCAATAAAAGATAGTTATCTCTCGAGTTAGTTGCATCACCGTACGTCATTTACTGTAAAGTTGACTTTATCAATGTAAATTCAGAAAGGAACCGATCATAAAAAGCGATTCGTGTCTCCATTGCTTGGTCGACTTTGACACAGGATTACTTAGTAAACAAAGGAAAGCATTTGATTGCTGGGACAACGTTTAAATTTTTCGACGTCAGTAAGATCTAAATTTGTAATTTCAGCACACGAGATCAAATTTCTCTCGGAACATCCATATATTTAGGAACCTAGTTTTGAAAACTTAACCGGAGCGGTTGAGAGTACAAGCAAACATATTCATTTAAAAGAAAGCTTGCTTAGATTCCCCAAAAATTGTCCGCGAGTGCCATGGCGAGTACAAAAGGCAGGCTGAAAACATGGGCTGAAAAAATTTGAACAAAAAGAATAATTACAGAAGGCTGAAAAATAATTCGAATTTGAAAGTTGAAGAAGATCAACTTAGGGGCGTCAGTTCTTGGAGGTTGCTGAGTAAATGAGAACAGAGACCCATCCCAAAACTATAATGAAACCTTCAACACATGCTGAACGTTACATCTATCAGGTACTTGCCATAGCATCAGAAATGGTAACTTTCAGTAAAAAGATATTTTTATCGAAATTTATCTTGCTTTCCACCAGAATCCAGGATTCACATTAGGCAACATAGCAAATCGGAAATCGTTTTAGATTCAGACCGAATCTAACCAGTCCCAGATTGATTATTACATTTATGATGACAATGACAGTTAAAATAACACCCAGTTTAGAAAAATATGACATTTAAATTCTAAAAAAAATATTTAATTCCCCAAGAAGTCAGCCTCCTTATAATTACCATATGAAATATCCCACAGGATATTTTATCTAAATGGCTTTTATCCTAAAACAAAAAAAATACATGAGTACTCTACCATCTTTTTCTGCTAAGGTCCCCACGGGATTGCAGCAAGAATCACTGATGAGACTATAACCACAATTAAAAGAAATTATGATGCAAACACTACTCATAATTTTTTAAAATAAAGAAATTCCCGAGAAAAACTTTTACATCCATCCAAAACATGCACCGATCAAATGTATTCTGAGAAGGGGACGTTTTTTGCAATAAAGAGCACCTAAAAAAAGCATGAATCGTTTTTTTACACTTTTAACTATAACAGGAAACTTCAAGGATCTCTTTAAATATCTCAGTCAAATTGGTATCAGCTGATTACAAAACTGGCGTCAGAGACAAGTAGGAAACTACATTTTGAACTGGTCGTGTAAGTCGCACAGCAAGGCAAAAAGCCTCAATTGGTATAAAAAGGATGAAAAAAATATCTATAACTACTAACTAGAAGGAATTTCCATAAATTTCAACAGTAGCTAAAGGTTTCTTTTGGTTACCATCATTCTTCGAAATTGGTTATGGAGATCCAAATACTGATGCTAAAGTGACACAAACCTCATCTGACGTCAAAAGAACATCACTGAATTCAGGAAACAATTCGAGTGCTCTTTTCTCTTCCAGTGTACCAGTAGACAGACTTCTTCCCCAAGGTGCAGGATCAAGAAACATTGTCGTTTCAGAACTTATGGCACAATCAAGTGAAGAGACAATTAATTCGGTATACAGTTTATCAGAAACATACCCATTGCGGAAAAGGATCTTGGACTCCCTGATAGCCATCAGCACTGGTCCAGAGGGTTCCTTCATCCAACTAAATTCTGGCTCTTTGCTAAAATCAGCACGACTGTCAAATCAGGCATTGTTTAGGACTGGCATATTAACATTATACTGGAAAATGAGAGAAAATTTTCAATAGAGTTCAATAAAATTAAATTTGCATGATACTGTTGATGGAAAAGTCCTTATGTGGATTTTTATCATACATTGCATGATAACATTATCCAAGATAATATCTTTTTATACCATTTAACAAGAACACATACCCTCTTTCAACCCTTTTTTACTCGGATTTTATTTTCTCAGGTGTTCTTCTGATCACAATAACTTAAGTGGTTTGGTTATGGACACAACGTAAAACATTTTGGTAAATTCTTGTCTGCCTTACTTCATAATGGAGCTTTATTATTTATGAATTTATGTTCAGTACATCAACAATTCAGTCTCTTTCCGAGAATAAACAGAAATAAAGTTCAAGAGAGAAATATTTTTTAAGGATTTTATTCGTATATTAAGCATACTATCCACGACACAGATCTCAATTATTGGAAATGAGTCTTAAATGAAAAAACATCTCTTCACAAATGAAGAAGGAAGAAGGGCCTATGATCAAATATTCCGAGTTATTTCTTTAGGAGGTATTATCATGAACATCAAAGGTAATACAAGGCACTACACTCCCTAGCAGATTCAGAATCTTCACTTATTCCAACCATATCAATGCCCTCTTCGTGACGCACATCCAGGTGGAATCCTCCATATATTTCATCTCCTATATGACCTAGAACAGAGCATTGAAGGCCCAGTCTTGCCGCAATAATAGAAAAGTTACAGCTACCACCAGCTTCCCAAATTTTCTATAAAAGACAATGTAAAGATGCAGAATGATTCACACAGGTTAACTGAGTAAGTTTTTTCAACTAATAGGAGAGTTATGTGCCATTAGTTCCAGTTATACAAAGATTTTTGTGCACATCTTTAAAAGAAAATCCTGATTGGAGAGAGTTTTTCGTAACATACACTGCTATACAAATACACCCATCTTCTCTCTACTGAACAATACCTTTTTAAAGATTAACCATGGTC